TATGAAATTATTAATTCAGTGCTCACAGTGGTAAAATGCAAGTAAAGGGCTCAGAGTGAGAGAGGGGAAAAAGAGGACAATGTAGGAAGTGTGACACTGCCGATAAACCCTGGTGCAGCCAGATCTTGAATCTTTGTTCTAGCTCTGGCAATCCTACTTCAGAAAAAATACAATTGAACTTTGACAAAGGTAGAACAGTTTCAGTATCAGCAAAAGCCTAAACAATCTAGGGTGCTTCCATTTGGGAGGAGGGTGAATGAAGGGCTATATGAATAGATTCATAAAATCACAGAAGGTGTAGAGAGGTAAGTGATTACTTGCTGTTCCTCACAATATGATACACCAATTGAATTATCAGGCAGAATTTTTAAAACAGACAGAAGGAAGTACTTTACACTGCTCATAATTAAATTGTGCAGCTCATTACATAGGCTGCTGTGGAGACCAAGAGTATAAATGGGTTCAGGGAAGGACCAACACATTCCTAGAGTAAAGAGCCATTACAGGCTATTAAGCACCAAGGTCTGGAAGCTGCCTCCAGCTCAGGAAGTCCTTAAACTACTGATTACTGGAAGCTGGGACTGGAGTATGTCAGGGGAAGGATCACCCAATTTGTGCCAGTGCTTCTCTAGACACCTGCTACTGGCTGTTGTCAGAAATGGGATACTGGACCAGACAGATTATTTGATTTGACTGAAGCTGACTCCTTTTATATCAAATGCAAGAAAATGAGAATCTTGATGTTGCAGTGAAATAGTCATTTCCCCATGGTCAGCTGGAAAGGAGAACATTACATGCCGGGAAGGCAAGCTGGGAACAGCAGGTTGCAGGAGTGCTATGCAGTCAGCAGAGATGCGTGGGGAAGACTTAAATAATGCCAGAGTTTAGCCAGTACATCTTGTTCATGACTTTCATAAGCACCAAGTTGCAGGAGTGAAAATCACCTCCAAACAAACTTGGGCGCATATAAATTGGTCATACACCGTGCAGATACTATCTGGCCTTGTACAGGGATTTTCAAGTTGTGGTTGGCAAACTGAGAGCTGGCAGGCCTAGGGTGTACCTACATTGAATATGCAAATAAAAGCAGAGCTATTGTAACTTAAATGTTGCTATACAAATGTTGTTATACAAATGATTGTCCTTTTCCTGGTAAACATCTAGATTAGCTTTGAGAAAAGACTCCCAAAAATCTCTCTCCTGGCAGAAGTCCTAGCCATAGGATCTGTGGAAGCTAGTCTCTTGTGGTTTTATGATCTCTACCTTGCAGCTGGGAGACTTACCCAATGGTAATTTATGCCCCTCTGAAAAAGGAGAGTAATAACTCCAGCCTGGAAACAGCAAATCCAAAAACAGTGACAAATAAAATGGCACTCATCTGGTAATCACGTGCAGGGCTAACTTAATCTTTCTTTTCCAAATAAATTTTTTCTAACACTGAAATGAGCTGCATACTACCGACTAATTGTCTTTTGTGGTCTTTGAGGATTCAGGCATAACTATTCAGTCTAAACAACTCATTGGAGGATTTTTGTATGCCTTAGGTGGAGGAAAAGGCTCAGTAAAGCCAAAGCCTGGGATATAAACTCAAATCCCTCCTAATCAAATATGTATCCTTTGATCTAATAAGTAGGTTGAGTCTCGCCTGACTCTTCAGCAAAATGAAAATGTAATGCTTTTTAAAAAAAAATTCAGTTATTATACTTGAATAGCTTGAATGTCTGATTGCTTTTGGTTTCCAAGACAGTGAACTGCTCTGTTAAAGAATTTCCTTAATAGTATCAACTATGGAATTAGTATCAGATATTTTTGTTTGTTGTATATTTAATGACATACACATATATGTGCACCCGTGCTTGTTCACAATGGTGGTGTGTTAGTTGACTTGATAATAACATCTACTACAAATTACTGATACGAAAAAAAAATGATTATCAAAACAGCTCATTACTTATAATGCGACATTTCCTTGTTGTTGGTTGCTACATCAGCAAGCTGACTGGTGTGCCCATTTTAACAAAGTTGTGGATTTTGTAGCCTGAAGAATAGAATATACCATGAAAGCACAGATTTACTTTTTCTGGCGCTCTCTCATCAGGGGAACAGTGACTACTTTTGTTTCTATGGGAAAGGCTGACTGTCGAGCCTGTGTTTTCATTCATGCACTCAGCACAGTGGAGATGAAATTGCTGGGAAAGATAACTAAAAGCCAGTTGTGTTACCTTGCTATTGGCAGAGTGCCAGATGGTGTAGTCTGCTGGTCAAAGTAATATGAGATATGATCACCTGGATACTCGGCATCTGTTCTGTTACCAGATTTGTCCTACCTTCCCTTTCCCCCATTTTCCCCTCTCTTGTCTGCCTTAAACTTCTTAGAAGGCCATGTGTTTGCTCTTTAGCCTGACCTCCTTTTTTTTTTTTTAAAATGGGAAAGGCCCCTGTGGCGCATGCAGTGTGTTTTGACACTGTGTCTCTCTCTGTTCTGAGACAAAATTCTGACAAAAACCTGTGTAAAAGTAGGCATTTTTACCCTGCCCTTAGGCCTAAGGGTCATTTCTGTCTGGTTCGTGCAAATTTGCAATCCCTAAGATGGTTTTAACATAAAAGTCTTAAAACAAACCTGAAAAAGAAAGGCATTATTGTCATGCCCGTGTTTGTGTGCTTTCCAGACAAAGCCATAAATCCAGCTTGGCATGCAGAGGAAGGGCAGGCTGTTGGCACAAATCTGTGCCAAGTCTCCCCCAAAAGGCTCATCAGCCTCAGCTTTCTTTTAAAGGAGCACGGGTCAAGTCTCAGGTTCTGCTGGAGGAGGCTTGCACATCTGAAATTCTGACTTGAAATAGTATCCAAGGCTTGATGCTGAGATGTCTGCAGCCGTTCATTAGGCATATTTGCTTTTTAAGTCTCTGCTGAATTTCCCTGCCAGCTGGAAGCCTTGTTCTCAGACCGGTCACTTCAATTTGCTCTTAGGAATATTCCTCACAGACTTTGTTTCAGTAAATTTGCTTAGTGGATGTGTGCAACCTTACAGGCTGTATTGCTTGACAGGTAATAAGCTGTAAGCTGTGTTGTCTGAAAATGTTGGCTTTTTAAATCAAATAATAATTAACTGCTAACATCTTATTATTCAGCCACCTTTGCTTAAGTATTGCTTTACACGAAGTGGGTGCTACCTTCCTTTGTTACAATGGCAGGACTAAGTAGGTTTGCTCTATCGCTGTCAGTGATGCAGGGTGCAAAATGTGATACTGCCCCATTTCCACCAAAACATGTTACTGTGTTAGAAACCATGAATAGACACAAGAATGTACCCTTGTGTTTAGGAAGCAGTAATAACTGAATTGATACCCAAAACCAGCCCAGGAGGAGATGCCCAAATATTGGATGGCCTTTTGAAAAGTATATTTGAAAAAATTATTATTTTTGTGGCTTTTTGTGGCTTATTTCTTTAATAGTTTAATCCTGTCATCGAGAATGCGTGTGGTTTATGTTGTACTGACATATATGGCATAAAATCTTTTTTGCTAAATTGTTCTCTTCTGATACGTTGCCAGGTAGTGAAAGGCTTTTCCTTGGGTTACTTTCCTCTAATGGGTTTTTGTCAAATGCAAAATATTTAGGAATGTTGATGTCTTGCCTATGTTGTTAAGTAGAAAGGGGGCATTGGATGATTGGAGGCCGATGTTAATACCTTGAGTTGTTCATGCTACCCACAGGAAAGGGAATTTAAGAGATTTTGATTCAGCCCACTCAATTTTTCTGGACATACACTGTGAGTAGTGAGGCTTCCAAGCTCCTAAACTGTGGACTTATAGTGCAGTGTATATTTTCAGGACAATGAAAAGATTTATTTAGCATATGGCTGACCTGGATTGTCATCACTGGCTCAATTGACCTTTATTGCCTTGGGACAGTGGTAAGATCAGGAGATGCTATAAATAGCTGTTGCACTGTGGGAGTGGTATCACAAAAAATGCACTTTACACAAACAGACTGTCATTTCACATTGTGGGGGATGAGCGTATTTGTCTTACAAAAGGAGATCTCTCCTTGAGATGTTTGTTTTTTCCCCCTTCTGAATCACTGCAGTTGAAGCTGTGAGCTTGTTTTGGCCACCACCATAAGGTGCTAAAATATACAACACAATGTTATGAAGTTTTATGAAACCTATGGTCCAAGTGCAGCTGAGCCCTGTATGAGCAGTGTACTCTGCTTCTTTCCACCTGATGGCTCACTACTTGAGGTTGATCTGGCAGGGCAGGGTGCCCCTGGGGAAAGAGGCAGTGGATACACTCTCAGCACTTGTGAAGCTCCAGAGGGTTTCTGGTCACCACCTGTGACTTTTGAAGGAGGCTATTTCTATGCTTCAAGAGCTGTAAGAATGACTTTGGGGGGGGAAAAAAAAAAAAAAAAAAAGGAATTGAAATGTAAGTGGAAAGAAGCTGTAATACCTTGAGGGATGCTGATATGATCAAAAAAGGTAGTAGTGTATAACTCTTTCATAAGTGGTATCCCCAAGTCTTGTTTTATGTAGTCTGATGCCAACTTTTCCTAGCCTATAAACTAAGTAAGAGCAACAGAAGTTGTGCTCTTTGTATAAACTCATATTTCATTGCTCCAATAAAGGCTATTTGGAATCATGCATAAGTTGATTCAGTAGATTCAGCTGGTATGTAAGGAATAGGTGTAACAAATGAGGACTCCACTGAAATTGGCAAATAGAACCATATGTAGTCCACTGGATTTGATATTTCATCTTAGTGCCAGATGAGTAACTGATCTTCATTAAACAGTAATTTTCAATGATCAGATTACTTTATTATTTTCCTAAACTGCTTTAGCAGGAGATGGCATTCAAGCACCATTTCACCCAATCTGAAATTAGATGTTGTACTGCGTCTTCTGTTTTCTGGAGAAGGGTGGGGTGGATAATTATATTGAGTAATTATATTGGATATACGCTCCATTTATTTGTTTTTTTTTTTCTTTTCAATTTGCAGGAAAGCAATCTCCAGGTCAGGCCTCCAGCACTTGGCTCCTGTGCATTCCCTCAACATTGCAGTCTCCAATGGACCTGTGAAGGAACCAAGGGCGGCCTTAGAGTGGACTGTAGGTGTTTGGGGTTATTTTGGCAGCTAATTTGAGCAGTATCTCTGGCTAGTGCTCTCTCCATTCTTAAATCAACGTAAGACATTGCATTCCTATCAGAATTAATGCTGGTTAAAAGGAACATGCGTCTATTATGAAATGAAGCACAAGGCAGAGACCTGAAAACTTGTGGAGACTATAGCAGCACAGGACAGAGCTGTTCAGATTTTCCAGCTTGGGAATTGTGTGCCTTCTTGTCAAGGTGATTGACTTCTAGCACAACAGGGTTTTGTACCTCTGCTTGACGGGCCAAAATGTAAGGCTGAAGATACATGTTGAGTTGGCTGGGTCTGTAGAGTGGTAGTAGAAATCCTTGGTCATGGTGCTTTGTAGGTGTGGCTAGATTTCTTCTGAGCCAAAGCTCGCTTGTAGACACAGAGAGCATATGTTTCCACCCCTCCCATTTTGCTTCTCTTATGTTCATAAGCTAGTTCATAAGGGGAAAGTTTGGAATAGAAAAGAATATTTCAGCTGGAAGGGACATACAATGATCCTCTAGTCCAGCTGCCTGACTGCTTCAGGGCTAACAAAAAGTTAAAGCATGTTGTTAAAGGGCATTGTCCAAATGCTTCTTAAACACTGACAGACATGAGGCATCAACCACCTCTTTAGGAAGCCTGTTCCAGTGTTTGACCACTCTCTCGGTAAAGAAATGTTTCCTAATGTCAAGTCTGAACTTCCCCTGACTCAGCTTTGAACCGTACCCATGCACCTTCCATGTAGTTATGCACTGGTACGTGCGAAGAAAGTCACACAAACATCCCATTTAAAGTCAAGCATACAGTAGATCTTACACTTGGTAAAGAACTCGGTATATTACAGTATCAAGGCACCAGCCATCCAAGTGGCTTTACATGAAGATAACTTATGTTTTGATGAATATGGCTATTGGTACAGTTTATCTCTGTACCAAGACTGAATGGCTTTCTAGATGGTGTGCTCAGCTTTGACCACAGCTTCTGCATTTAAAATTTAAGGGGATGAAATTTTACAGGCTGCAGTGTAGGAAGCTGGATCCGACTTGCTGCAATCTTCTATAGTACTGTACTTTAACAGAGTGTTAAAATTAGTTTGAAAGTTTACACAGAATACTTTTGGAACAGCTTTGGAGAATACCTTAGTCTTTTGCTCCAGGAAACACAGGTACTGATTCAGTAAGGTATTAAAACACATGCCTGCTTTGAGTCAGTAATGCTGTTTAGTAGAAATCTGAAGGATCGGTCACCTGTGTAAGGGGTAGGAACAGGCTAAATTAAACACTTTTTGAAATTGGACTTAAAAAACAGCACCACCAACAAAAGCCCAAACCAAAAAAACCTAACGGCCCAACAACCACAACTTACTCTTCTTCAATGTCAGTTGTCTGCTACTCTTTTTACCAGGTAGTTGCTCAAGAGATCCCAACACATAAATACTGCAAGACTTGGTGTAAGTTGGTGAATGTTGATTAAATATTGTGGGTTTTAATTGTGTGTGGGGTATTTTGGCACTTCCTGGCTTATGGTTTAGATTTTTGATAAATTCAGTTTCTTAGCTGTTTCAGCCTCTCAGGTCAGTGTTGCTGCTTTATATCCCACTTTTATTGGAGGAGGGAGGCAACCCTGCAGCACATGGGGAAAGGGGCAGGATAGCGAGTGGAATCTGTCTGTGGCTGGAAGGGGCCTGAATTGGTCAGCTGTAATAACTGGTGAATGTGGAGGAGAAAGGCATTACTCAAATCTGAAGCACAGTATGAGTAAAAGAGACAATAAGGAGGTGATTTTGAGGTGTGAAGAAGCTGAAATGGACCCAAGATTATAATGGGTAGGGAATGTCAATTAAAAATAGTTAAGTTTTAAATACAAATATTTAACACCAGGGGTGTATTTGGTAGAGTGAAAAAATATCTGAATTAAGATGTATTGAAGACAAACAGAAAGTGTTCGTATTTAAACAGTGGAAGGCAGCATTAATCAGTGCATGTTGCATTTCCATCTATATCATCCTGCTCTTCAGTATTTCTGAGGATGATTCTCAAAGGACTCGTGATGGAAGATCTTTCCAAAGTCTAACTGACATGAACATAAGTTGTCACTTGACTTTGCAGTAGAAAATGTTTCTTCCTTGTTTTCTTCACAGTAATAATGGGAAAGAATTCCCTGGCTATAGTCTCCACTTCTGATAACTCCTTGCAGGTGATTTGCCATTACTGGATGATCTTGTGAACAGGACACTGATTCAGGGAGTGGAATTTCCTTTCCCTGCTCTGACACTTGCCTTGTGAGTGGGCTCAGATGAATTGTTTTGCCACTCAATATGTTAGCCTCTCTAGCTGTAAAATGGAGCTGATGATTCTGATGTCTCTTAAGACCCTTTACGTAAGAAACAGTATTTGTTGTTGTTAGTGCCTGTCACCCCTGAGGTTCATTTTATCTCACATACTTAGAAATGCCCAGTTTCATCACACTTGTTACCCCTAATTCAAGTTAACTTGCAGCTTTGTTGTCTAATTTAATGTTATCTTTTTACAGCAGGGCCATACAGAATATATTTTCTGAAGCAGGTGACGTTATATCCAGAGGGCAATGCAGAATATGCCTTACTAAAAAGAAACAACCTTAACTGCCTGTCCCTGTATTATGTTTACGTGTAGCCTCTTCTCCCACCCTTCCCTATTTTAGCCATCACTCCCACAAGTTAAATAATGAAATAGGCATTCTAGCCCGGCTTCTCAAGTAGGTACAGGCTGAGCCACCTCATACAGTGCCTATGTACCATTGTGGATCTAGGCCTTTGTATATTTTCATACTGCCATTTGCTCCCAAGGAAAATAACCATAAGGTTTGGTGCAAAGTCATTCTGCAATTTTCTTTTAAGTACTGCCTTTTAGCTCTTGCTTTCTTTGGTGCCCACAAAAATCTTGATAGCCACCTAGATGTTAGTGTATTGAGCTTCCCACTGGCCAAAATTGTCTCATTTTATTTATCCATCATGCATTTGACTGTTGAAGCCAGTTTCTTGCCTTCACACTAGTAGGCATTTATGGCCCATGACTACATGCCTTAGAACTCTACTTAAGTCCATTAAAAGGCATTTGAAGACATGCAGCTTCCATTCCTGAAGTTCAATGAAAAAACTTGAAACTGATCTGTGCTTTGTGTTCTGTGAACGCAGAGTTCTCTGGGTACACGATGAATGTTCTTCACAGGAGAAATATTATAACCTTATACTATTATTTATATTTACTGCAGACATAAAAAATCTTACAGATCTTAAGAATAGAAAACTATGCATTTGAGTAGAAGTTGAAAACTGGCATTTGGCAATATGTTATGCTAGTTTTGTGGGTTTCACTTTTACTTGCTTCTATAAAATTAGTTGGTTGAGAGAGTCTATTCAGTTCCATAAGATATTTTAACATGCAGGAAAAAGTTGTTCTTTATACTTTCTACTAAATATCAGAAGATTGCAGGGCTGTGATCTCACCAGGATCACAGAGACAGTGCAATAGCACACATGATTGGAGTGGCACAATGAATAGATACAGACTTTTGGGGAAGGACAAAGCCAGGATGGTGATGATGGGGAGCTGCTCTTCATCCATGAGAGAGGCAGGAATGCTCAAAGCTTTGCGAGTCTGTGAAGATCAGGATTAGAGGGCGAACCAACACAGGCAACATTTTTGTGGGTGTCTGATGTAGATGCTTTGCTCAGGAAGAGGTAGAAGATGAGGCTGCCTTCAGACAACTGGAAGAAGACTCATGTTCGCAGGCCCTGGTATTCATGTGAACAATATGAGCCATCCTGATATCTGCTGAATGAACAACAGAGCACAAGCAATCCAGGAGGTTTCTGGAATGCATTGATGAGAACTTCCTGACACAAGTGATTGAAGAGCTGATGAGGGGAGATGCTCTGCTGGATCCTGTAATTACAAACAAGGAAGAGCTGGTAGGGAATGTAAAGGACAGGGCAGTCTTGTTGCAGTATGGTGAGATGGTGGAGTTCAGGATTCTGAAAAGAAGGAAGGCGGCAAACAGCAGTCCTCAACTTCAAGAGAGCAGACTTTGACCAGTTCAAGAAGCTGTTTGGAAGAGTAACATGTGATATGACTCTGAAGAGAAGAGGAAAACTAGTTGATATTCAAAGGTCACCTCCTCAGTTCTCAAGGACAGTCCATCCTTGCATGCAGCATGTCAAAGAAAAACATGAGAGCTTGAATGGATGCATAAGGAGCTCTAGGAAAAACTCAAAATGAAAAACCAAAAATCCCACACCTAACAACACCACTGCACACTCCTCCCCAAGAAACCCCCCCGTCAAACACATTCTCCCCCCAGAATTCCAATACAACAGGTGGAAACAGGGTTATATAAAACCATGTAGAGGTGCTGGGAGCTTTAGTTCCACTTAAATAAGAAATCATGAGTGAAAGCTCTGTGAATACTTAAATTGCTGAAATATTGTGTTTGGATGACACTGGGAGCAATGTGTTCAGGATTAGTAGTCCTACTTTGTTGTTTCCTTTCCATCAAGGCTTGAGAGCTAATGTTCTTTCCTGAGATATCTAAAGAGTAAAAAGGTCTGTCATATTTCAAAATGGTGGTCATCTTTTATTTTTGTTTCCCCAGAGGTATAGAGGATGCAGCGATATTACAGAAGGTACCCTTGAAAATAGGTATTTTTTTTCCCCATTGTTGCCAAAAGGACTGAAGTTAAGCTGTTATCAGCCAAAATAATGGATCATGAGAACATAGCGAATCATCATCTCAGTTGATAGCATCTGAACAGTGCTCCTTCATAAAGACAAATGTTGTTAATCTGCTTTTGCATACAGATTGTCTTTCAGATGATGATAACAACAGTGTCAAAAGCTTAGCAGAGAGTACAGGAGCAGGAAACTGTTGTAGGGATGTTGCAAACCATGGTGGGGAACAGGAGAACGGCAGACAAAGAATGTGGAGCACCTAGGCCTAAAAGTTGAACACACAAAAATAGTTCTGAAAGTTGGAGCTTATATTATCTATAAGTTTTTTTGAAGTAATGATATAGTACCATATCTCCATGGTGTTTTGTTTTATGTCTATGTATTACTTTTGTAACAAAGAAAAGATAACTTCTATATAAAGAATATTCCCAAATTGAAGTGTGCTAAGGTGGAGTTAAAATTGAGAATATATATCAACAGAAAAACATTTGCGACATTGTTATTGTTTGCAATATGAGCATTACAAGCTCTGTAATTTCAGAGTTAGGGATAAAACAAGCCATTCGTATGAGAGAGACATTTCATAGAATCATAGAATGGTTAGGGTTGAAAGGGACCTTAAAGATCATCTAGTTCCAACCCCTTGCCATGGCCAGGGACACCTCCCACTAGACCAGGTTGCTCAAAGCCCCATCCAGCCTGGCCTCAAACACTTCCAGAGATGGGGCCTTTGGGAAAGATTTGAGAAAAAGACATTCAAACTTGTTTCTGCTTGATAGTGACTTCATAAAGAAAAGGGCTTACAAATATGTTTAATTAAATTTAGTTTGAGCACTGATTTTACACTACTCATAAGTTTATCACCCAAATGTAGATTTGTAAGAAGATTCATCTTGCTCACTGGAGTGTTAACAAAGGGGAAAAAATTCTTACTGGCTTATTTTAGAAATCTGTCTTACATAATTTCTTGCAGAATGTCAGTCATGACAGGAGTGGAGGAGAGCTCCATTCCTCCCATTATAATTGAAGTTACAATGCCTTTTGAACTAAAAAGTTGGTCTGACTGGTGTATTTGTTTGGCTGAATATCTATGACTGCTTGATATGGCAAATTAAATTACCCAGGTTTGTCTGCATTGCTTTTGAAACCATGCTGACTGCAGCTTGAAGAATAGTTTGGTATGGAGATACTAAGGGCTTTAGAAAAATGGTAACACTTGCTCTGTCATTTAACCACGTTGGGGCTCTTAAGAGAAGAACCCTAGTTGAATTAGTGAAATGTGCACAGCAAGTTATGATCACGTACATGTAATTACATCGTTCCCAAACTCCTAGTCCTTGAATTCCTATTTCTCTTTCACTTCAGGGGGGGATTGTGTGTGGTTTTTGTTTCATGTGCAAGGAATGTTTGCTATATTGAAATTATTTTTGTTTGCTGTTAGGGTGGTAATGGATCAGGAGCAATCAAATGGGAGGTCTCCCTCTGGGAGAGCGTATTGAGTTCGTGTGTCCCCTGTGAGGCAGGCTGCATCTGCCAGGAAAGCTCTGCTGCCTCCGCTTGGGTGAGCAGGGGCTCTTTCTCTCCACAGGACACCGAAAGCACACACTTGCAAGGGCTGGGAAGCCAGGCGAGGAAACAGAATTCCCAATTCTCCTTTTAACTGCAGCGTGTTAGGCTGCAGTCATTGCTGTTTTTTCTGTGATGGTGGACAGTATCCCTTTTCTACATGGCAAGCAAAAGCAAAGCACATCAGTCTAAAAGCATGATTTGACAGATCAGCTAAGCTGCTCTAACGCCGAGTTGGTACTAAAAACATTGGTCCCACTGGACCCACCTTTAACCCCTCACTCCTTGTGTCAGATCCAGCAGTTATGCGGTCACAGGGTGAGTCATTTTGTCTAGCTTGTGTAGTAGCTAAAATTTATCTATTTTTTTCCAGCAGTTGAACTGATTCATGTGTAGTTTCACAGTCGCTAGATCCATCATGAGGAAAATGACAAGACCATGAGAGTGGAGTCGAAGAGGTCAGGGTCTGAAAGAGGACGACTGCCTCTTTAGTAGCCATTTACTCCTAAACCCAACATAAAGACATCAAGTGCAAAATAAAGCAAACTGGCAAATTATTTATGAACTCAAATATTGCTGAACTCAAAACTCAAGTGGAAAAATATCTGTCACAATATACAAATGATGATGTCACCTTTGGTGTGCTTTAGTTCTGTGTTAAAAAGGAGCTTGTACCAGAGTTAGTTCCAGTGAAATATGTCAGTTTATGTGTTGGTAGATGGAGTACTCTTTTGTCCAGTGCATTGTGGAATACTGCTTATAATTTTTAGAGTAGAAAATACTGATTTGCTGAAGTCAAAATTCTTCACAGAAATGTATTAATTTTTGTCAAAATTTCCTATTAGTATTGAATGATAGATTTGACTTGGAAAAGGTCAAAGTATTTTCCTTTGACTTGTATCATTTTGATTTTCATAAGTGGCAACAGAATCTCTCATCATATAAATGGCAGTGTCCTGTAAAATTTAAAACAGAAGTTCAAACAATTCCCTTTGATCATATTTAGACAAAGTAATCGACAGGCGAAGCTTTTTGAGGGAAGGCATTTTCGTCTTGGGAAATCTCAGCTCTTTGCTCTGATTCAGGATGGAAGAAGATTTTTTTCAAATGTCAGTTTGCTGGAATTGAAATTGTGAGTTTTCACACACAGTGCTGTGAAGTTGTTTGTGGCAGTAGGTATCTGGAGGTGTGCCATTTATACCAGATCAGGTTATTTACATTTTTATTATCTAGTCTTGTCAGAACTCTATCGTAGTGTGAGCTGCAAAGGTCATCCTTGTAGACCACTTACTGATATTATTTACACTGTGATTTAAAGTCAGACATGTCAATCTATGATATGGTCTGGAACAACAACAACAGAACAACAGAGAACAAACTCAATGAGTCTAAACTAGGTTATGGAAATAGGCCACTTTATCTTTAGAAATCCTGGATGGCAAGTTATGTGGACATGGTCTGAATGAAGGGATATTTAATCTACTGTTTTAATGGAATTTTGGTTCCTCATTAAAAATTACATCCCAGGAGCTACGTGCTTTCTTATTTAGCTTTCATAGTTGATCCTTCCTAAACATCTTTTATAATCTATGAAATTTAGCTCTGGGTTATAACATTGAGTTTGTATTGTTTCATCAGCAGACAATGTGCTCAGGTCAAACACTATCATGAGCTCACGTCCTCCTGCTTTGGTTCTCTTGTTTGCCTCTTCATAAACTAGGCAGGACATTAATATGTTGGGCTATAGTGTGGGCATAGTGATTTTATTAGTATGACATGACTAGGCTTCCATGATGTGCTGTTAAACTGATGTAGTTCGTGCCAGAGAAAATTGCTGTAATATAAGGATGAACTTGAAGGGAAAGAATTTACTGTGTAACTTACCACCTGAGTAAGGCCTGAAGAATTTTTTAGAGCTAATTCAAGTCCTTAAAAAACGCTTTGCGCTATAGAAGTACTGAAAATCCTCACCTATACAATCTTGCACTGAACTGTACGGTTTAGGAAAATCTGTCCCAGGGAGTCTATAGTTCAGGTGGACAGGTAGACAAAAGGTTGAGAAGAAATGGAGGTATAGAATGGTGTGCCATTAAGTGATGTTTAATCAAGAACGTAATGGCAGTATACTGCAGTCCTAGTCTCACTGTCGTCTGCCCCCTTGTGCTGGGGGTTAATACTGGGTCTGACCTCAATGTGAACATTTTTTATTAAGTTAGAAGACTTGTGGATCAGTAGACTTGCCAGAAAAAAGCGACAGGTCATTCTCGTTCTTTTTAGTTAGTTGAAGTGAGCACTACAGTTGTGGTAGGCACCATGTGCAGACTTGTGTAGGTCTTGACTGTTGTGGATGCACTCGTTTTCCAGAAAGCAAAGGATTTTGCCACTTCTGCTTCTCCGTATTACCCAAGAAATCCACATGGCAAGAGAAGCTTTCTCATTTCATCGCTTTGAAACTGTCAGTGGTATTTTAAATAAATTATTTTAACTAAGATGGCTATTTCAGAGCATCCTGCTGTCGGACGCCATCTGTTTGGTAAGCGTCATCATTTGTGACTTCTGCAGTGTGGGAACCAAATGTCAGAGACTGTCAAAGCATTTTCTATCTTGCTCTAATTCTGGATGAACAGAAATCCTGTTTATTCACTTTGCTCAAATAGTGTACAGTAGAGTTCTTAGGCTTTTTAGTTGAGCCAGGATTACAGCCAAGTGAAAACTGTAGTCTTTCTACAAACAAATTTCTTCAGACTGAGGATTTTTTAAATAGAATTAAGGTCCTCATTTGGTCAAATGAGGCTGTCGAAGAAAAATTAGATGTTGCTCTGTTAATCACTGCTAATTTCCAGTGCGCTAAGTACATTTGTTTTTTTGAGAGTGTTCTCAGTTTAACGCATTGTTCTTTCAGGTATAAAATTAAAGTCAGGTCTTCCCTTGCAATTTAATATTTTGTGGATCTTTTCGCAAACATACAGTGTTGATCCAGTCATTATAAAGAAAGCATTTTTCCTTGTCTGAACTATAGTCAATGTTATCTTATATTTCTGGGCCCAGCTCTCAAATTTCAGTAGTCACGTTTTTGTTTAATCTCTTGACTTTCTTTTTCTTTAAAATTTTGTGTACAACTCATGCTTATGAAATTTAGAGTCTCAGTTAAACTAAGCAGCATGTGAGAAGAAAATGGACAAAGTTTGTGTACATTTAGTGAAATACTTTGGTTTTGGTTGATGACACATGATTCGCTGTAACATCAACATCCTTTAAACAGGACGGTCAGCCAGGGTATAACGCTGTTATGGCTTTGTGTTGTAGAAAAATGAAACAGCACACTGCACATGTTTGTGTGGTTGTTGGTTTTGCGGGGGGAGAGGGGAGTTCTTTTAAATTAGTGGTGAAAATTAGATCTTTTTTTTTCTTATACTCCTATAGCTGAGTTTCACAAATGAGATTAACAATCCTCTGTTCTCAGGAAAATGCCGTGAACGGAGAGCATCTATGGCTGGAGACAAATGTTTCTGGGGACCTCTGCTACCTGGGGGAGGAAAGCTGCCAAGTCAAATTCTCAGTGAGTTATTTTCAGATTTCCTTCTCTCTTTCTGAGGTAATGAGCCTGATGTCAGACTGATACACTGCTTAGAAGCTTAGGAGTTTGAACGGTTTATTGCTGCAGTTTATGCCTGTGTTCCAGGATGCAAAAGGGACAAAAGGCTGTTGATTAAGTATGTTAAAAGTCTCAAACAATTTTGACTGACCCAGATTATTTACACAATGAGAATGGATTGTATGAGTAGCTTTATTACCATGGTAAGGAAAAAATGGTTAGAATACTGAGATATTTCAGAAATGTTCAAAGTATCCTATTTTATTTATATACACAAATATGTTGCTTGCTGAGGTCTCTGAGAATAGTCTGATCAAATTTTTGTGATTTTTGGTAACTGTAAGGATTTGAACTGAATTTTCCAAACTCTTGAGTGCACTCTCCAGCAATAATTGCACTGATATTCGAGTGTTTGCCTTTTATGGAAGCTTTTCTTCTGTTTAAGAATATTTAAGGTTTTCCTTCTCCTATTGAAACTTTTCTGCTGTGGACGACAAAGTTTCATTGGACTGTCTCTAACCTGTGCGTGTGTCTCTTCTTTGACTGGGGAGTCACTGTTATAGTTCCAGTGTGCTTCAGCAATTCCTCACCTAGTATTTCAGTTAAACTGCTTCAACAGAAGAAAAGAAAAAAACCAACCCTTTTATCTTGATATTTAAGAACCCTGGTGAGACAGTGGGGATCCTCTGTTCAAGACCTTGCTTTGAGTCAGTGCTCAAAGGAGCATCCTGGCCCTTGGACTATGAACTGTAAGGGGAGTCTTATCTTCTCTGGGGTGTTTGTGGATACTGCCTGGGACTCTTTTCAATACCATCTTTTTGGTTTTATTAAAAAAAATAAATAAGAACACTTGGTCCAAATTGAAGCATTTTGATTCACCAATCACCCCTAGTTTGGGGGCACTTCGATCCAAAACACTAATGCTTTCCTTAACTCCAATTTCATATCCATCTCCTGTAATTTCTCAAGAAAACTGGCTACTTTATGGCATATAAGATTAAGGCTAAGCTTGGGAAACCTGTGCCTGCTTACAAGCAGTACTGAAGCAAAGTCCCAACAGTAACAGACTGCTAATTATGGGGTAATAATCAAGAGAATTGTCACTGTGTGTTTGCTGTGTGCTTTTATTGGTCCTGAGTGCCAATATCAGGACCTTGGTTTCAGCAGAAGCTGGAGACAGAATTTCATTATTTTTTGTCTGAGTAGACCTTTGGTCTGACCAAATGCAACTGTTCATGCATTCTAAAAAGAAGTTTGCCATTCAAAAAACTGAGTAGATGCTCATAATTTAGCTGATTGAAAGTAGCATAGAAATTTAATAAAATGTTGGATATGATTTGTAAGGCTGTGTCGTAGCTTTAGAGGTGTACCTCTCCAGGAGTTGGAAGGATTGTTTGCAGTGGCTGGTGAATTAGACCCACCGACTTACGCTTCTATCTGGGAATGCTAGAAGATGTCTTATGTGGTGACAAGGTTTTCCAGCCAATAAGCCTGGAGATGTTGAGCCATATTTAGGAAGCAGCAGAATTTAAAGTTGCCCAATTCTTAATTGCCTGACCTTTGCTTGTCCTGACTGAGATTCTTTTCTCTTTTAGGTACTAGTATATTGGTTCTCTTTGGGGAAAATGATGTGTGTGTTTATAACATGTTAAGCTGCATGGGGCTTTCTTTAGGTTAAGAAATAGAGATGGAAATGAAAATCCAGTTAACTCTAGTTGTGGTTAGATTAACCTGATCTGTCAAAAGGCTAATGCTTTTCCAGTTTGAATTTTTTGATGACACTACATTTTTCTATGCCTGTCCTGACCCTCCTTTAATTTAGCTCTTTTAAATGTAAATTATTTAAGATCAAATGTTTTCAATGGAGAAGTGGTGAAAAGTAATTAAGGTGTAACTGCACAGACTTTGCATTAAAGTGTGTCCCTATGCAGAACACTAACTCATAATCTCTGGAATATGGAGGTGACATTTCATAATAAATCAAATAACTTAAAAGTAATGCAAAAGTCTAAATTTTTACTAGCATCTCATTATAAATGGTTGTAACTACTTGCAATGTCAGAAACATTAAAAATAATGAAAATACTTATCAAAAATCATCAAAAAATTTAAAAGCAAGATATTAAAAAGAAGGCAGCTTATTGTAAGTCATTAGCTTTGTTTGCTTTTTGCAGTTTTTTATCTTAGGAATCGATTCGTTTATATTTTCTCACTCTTCTTGGCAAACACAGACTAAAAACATATTTAAAGTTGGTAAGTCACAAAGCACATGAAAGCTTAGTCTGCTATACAGTGTCATGACTCTTCAGGTGAAACATTAGAACAACACTCCACATACATGTGAACACAGAGTTGGAGTGTATCATCTAGATAATTGAGACTCTTAATTATGAGACTACAAAGCTATAATTGTTCTACAATGTGAGCTCAAGCTATGTTCCCTGTTTCTTCTTGAGTTTATTTACAACACGTTGAAAATTCTAATGAAATAACTTATTAGAGATTTGAATGAATGTGAATAAATTGAACATAAAAACCTGAGACAAATCAGTCTCATCTTACCCTGTGTTTATAAATTTTATGTCCCTCGAGCACAGGTCTATAAGTTAAACTTCTATGGAAATTAATTCCATCTGGTTTATTAAATTGAGTATATGCAAGAAAAAAATAATAATTCTGTCTTCTGGATGCATTCTCTTGCCTTTGATATGCTTTAGCCCAGGGGATTCAATGGAAATGATTTTAAAAGCCCTACTGAAATTAATAAAACTAACCAGCCTAATTAGGCTGAGAATTTTATCCCTGCTGTAACATTTCATAAGCATTTAGCAACATTCTGTGAAGAGGTTATCGTTATCTGCTAAATGACCCAAGTATTTTTCTGCGAGTCAGTGGTCAGGCCCATCAAATTGAATATCATATGATAAGCATGAAATGACACACTCTTCTGAACTGGTATGAGCTCTCTGATTTGTATGTATGAATTTTCCTCCTTTCTACACTGGTGCTGCTCATCATCTCGGTAGGTTGTTCCCTTTCTGAGCGATGATTTGCACTGTTATCAGCCTTATCTGCTACCTAAAGGCAACCTTGTAGTTGCAGTTCACAAGCTGAAGTACTGTGGCTCTGTCTTTCGCAAAGTCCAATTCTTAACTGGAAGAGCTTCGGGCCATTTTTCAATATGTAGAACAGTTGAGAGCACCAAGAGAGGGGAAAAAAACATATGTTCCATAAGGAGAGAAACATCTCCTGTTTCACAGCTAACTTTTTTCCTCCTGAGAACAGTGTGCTTCCGTGCACACGCATCTCCTTTTTCCTCTTGCAGAAATCTGCTCTGCGGAGGAAGTGTGCTGCCTGCAAAATTGTGGTCCACAATGCCTGCATGGAGCAGTTAGAGAAGGTAAGACATTGCCATCTTCTGGAGCCTGATGCAGACAACACTCACTTAATTCTCTTGCAGTCTGGAAAACACCATATGTCAAAGTAGGTTTTCATAGCTGTTTTGACAATATATTTGTTAAAAAGGTGACTTAAAATTCCAGCTTATTTTTTTTAATTAGATTTCTTCAAACCCTGTGAACCATTAAAAAAAACCCCCAAAAATCTACAGAATGCATTCGCAATATTCCTGATTAAAAAATTAATATCCTTCTACTTCTAGATTGAAAATTGGAGCTAGAAAATGCAGTATCCTTTCATGCACAAAATTGGCCTTTCAAAATTCCTCAACTAAATCCAGCATAATTCATCTTATGACAGCTATACATTTATTATGGGCAATGCAGCATAAGATGCTACTATGAACATTTTTCACTCCGTTTACTAGACTATACTGTTTTGTCCTCAAAACCTCAAATACTAATTTTTTCTTTTTAAAATGGAAAACATCAAACCTTTCCTTTATAGTACCATTATTTCTGCGAGTATTTCTCCTGCTTCTGAGCTCCTTGAAGGATCTGTCCTTACCCCCAAGTGCCTAGAGAATATCTATCACTGAGTTATCTTCCCATCAGTGATTCTTCTTCATTATGCATAACTGTTAATGTGTTGAAGAAATTTTCCTCCACTGTTTTTTTTTTTTTCTTGGTGGCATATGTGTAAAGAAATATGAGTGGGAATTTCCCCATTGATTGCATTAGAGCTTCGTTATCACTCCTATATGTTTTGCAATGTTGTTCTCCATAAAAGATGATGCATAACAAATTTATAGCTGCAACCCTTTGGAAAGAGTTTTTTCTTTCCAAGTATTTGGACTTGTGTTGACAAATGTCACAGTGATTGCCATAATACCAAATTGGAGAGGTACCATTTCCACCCCCGATGCTTTTACCCACAGTGAAATTAACATTAGCACATGTTTCCAGCACAAAATGTTACTAGTGAATTTTTCATGACTTCCTTCATCAGCAGCAGTGCTGACTCTCCACAGCCCAGCAAGCTGGTGGCATTGCCAGCCGGAGCAAATGAGCACTTAGATAAAACCCATTCTGTTGAGCTTGTTTACACTATTCTGGAGACCATGAAATTCTCCTCTTGACAGACGGTTGTTATAAAGTCTGCATACCTCTTAAACCCTATGGAGTTTAAAACTGGTGCATAAGTCTTCTGCTTGGTTTAAGTTTTAAGTAAAATCAATATAAGCTAGAGATCTTTCTAGCCTGTCAAGACTCAGCCTTGAAACGAAGAATTGCAATTCCAGGTGAAGAGCAATGGAGGAAGGTTAATATTGTTATGGCTTTTATTTCTTCTTATGTAATAACTATTTTGTTTGCTTTTTATCTTTTTTTTTCCCACCCCCCTCCTTTCTCTCCATCCCTTGAACTATTGTTTTGAAGGCCTTTAATTAAATGAGGGAAGAACTTATTTACATGGGAAGCATTTTTTTTAAATCTGGGGAAACTTGATCCTTCTGCCTTCATGACAAAAACATAGCTGTGCAGTATCCTTCAGCATTTTATTCTTTGAAGGCTAGTCAACTTAAGCTTGAATTCATTTCATTGAGTGCATCCTTACCTCACATATCCTTTTCCCATGCCTCTCTTTTCTTCAGTATATTTTTTTTTTCTCTCTCTACATTCCCCCTGATTTTACTTCTATGAATTTTATTTTCTCAAAAGATTTCAGGTTTTTCTCTTAGGAGTTCCATGTTTGTTAAATGCTTTTTCTCTTCACCTTCCTAAAAATGTCTTCTTTTCATGGAAGATCCTGTTGTCCTCTTCCTGTCTTTAATCTCCCATCTGAAGGAGGAAACACTGCTACGTGAGGCAGTGCAATGCTCCCCAAATGGCTTGTGGTTGGGAAGTTGGATAAAAGCAGCCTGATCTAAGCAAAAGGTAGAAATTTAGGTTCATTTGCACAGCTCTTCATGTGAAGGAAGATTTCTCCACAAACTTTGTTTATACACATTTAAAGCTGTACAAAAAGGTCTTACAGAGTTAGATTTCCAGGTTTTGTTAACTTTTGAGACCTCAGCTTAATTCCACTTTGGTTGCAAATGATCTTCAGAAAAAAAAACAGGTGAAGCACTTTTCTTCTAGACAAGGGGGAGATAGTTTAAATAGTTGAACTGCACAGGCAGCAGTAGCATTGACGAAGATGAGGGCTGTGTAGAGATCTAACAAGAATTATGATGGCATATGAAAAGAGATTTTCTAGCATCCAGGTAAGTTACTTTGTTCAGCTAGCAAAGCTAATATTTTTATAGATAATAAATATTTTGAAAGTCTGACCTAAATCAACATATTGGAATAAATTCTGTCTCAGCTCACTTTCAGTTCTAACAGCTTTATTTTAATGCTAGATTAATTTTCGCTGCAAACCGACTTTCCGAGAAGGAGGCTCCAGATCTCCAAGAGAAGTAAGTAATGGACAAATGACAATTGCTTTTCATTTTATTTGTGTGATGATTCACCTGGTGTGGAGCTGCAGTAGTGCTTTTAGATTCAGAGGAATCTTAGAGTATTGGTTCCCTGTGGGACATGTTCTCTTCCCCAGAATAAATGTAGAAGGAATTCTAGCTGAAGCACTCCATTACTTACACTGACAGAAAGCATTTAATCTTCCTGTTGTCTCTTTTACTATTCTTTTAGCTATTCTGGTTTTCTTTGGTTTTTTCTTTTTTTTCCGATGGGGGAGGGGTTGCATTTTCTTTTTTTCTTCCTGTCCTTTGAACTAGTATTTCTTATTTTCTGTGCTGTCCTCTCCTTCCACTTGCCTCTCCCTTATTTTTTTTCCTAGAAGTATCTCTAGTATCCTAAGATATTTTTTTTTAGTTAAAAAAAATAAAATTAAAAAACAAATAAAAAATTAAAAATCCTTATGATTTGTCACCAGCTGCTGTATGAGTTCAGCTCCTTTGAAGGTGCTGGACAATTGTTATTCTCATTATCTGTCTTGCTTAGCTAGAAGCCAATGTTTAAAAAGGCCAAAATCAGTTGTTGAAACTTTACATTATTATTATTTACGTCAGGGGTTTTGTTTTGTTTTTTAATAATTAAAAAAATAATTACTATATTAAAAAATTAATTTTAATAGTTGATTTGGTGGTCAGCTTGCTCTTAGAGGTAACTCAATTCCCTACCACATCAACTCAATGTTGGCTGGCATAACAGCACGGCACAGGCGGATGCCTTCTAACCCTCTTGCCTGCACATAAAGAGGGGCAGAAGTGCTGCTCACACCTCCATGTCTTGCCCACCTCTTGCTGCCATCCAGGATACAAGTAGTCCAAATGAGGAGAAAAGACTGCTACAACGACTGCTCTTTCCTCCTCTCCTTCCCTTCTCCTGCATCGATTTGTGATTTTTCTTTATGATAAGGCTGTATTTCCAAGCAGAATAGAGTGGGGCCCTGCACTGTGGTTGAACACAGCAGTGTAAGTTTAGGTGATGATTATCTCCACATCATGAACTTCCTTCTTTTTATAGAAGAGTACAAAGAGAGTAGTTCTGGCCAATTTTCAACATGGATAAAGGAAAACATCTTGTCTTTATTCCTCCTCCAGTTTTGGTTGTCTGGGCTTTCCTGTGGGGACTGCAGTATTTTGCTCCAGAAAAGACTGCATTGGCTGAAGGGACCTTTCCTTTGGTGTCTCTAAACCAATTTCTCACGGATGGTACCATGGTACCATTAATTGCAAGCTGCTGTTGCTTCCTATAACATGTCTTTTTGTCCTTTTGCAGAACTTTGTCCGACACCACTGGGTGCACAGGCGGAGGCAGGAGGGGAAATGTAAGCAATGTGGAAAGGTAAGATTTGCAGTGCAGTGCAAGCACAACACGGGGCACTTATGGATTCAGGGTTGCCAGTAGGTCCTTCTAGTCACTGAAATTCTTCGGTCCTAAACACTTGGCCTCTCTTAAGGGTTGATGACAAGCCTGATACCTTCAGCGGTAGCAGCTCTGATTCCCACGTCGGAAGAGAAAAGGCACCTGCTTCTGCAGGAATGAGCACATCATGTGTGCTAGGACATTGCGCTGCACTGAAAATGGAGGAGGTGGAAGCCTGTGGCTCCTTGAGCTTCTTTCTTGGTTAAGCTAACCCTGTGCCAATATGGTCTTCTTGTAGTGCTATCCTTTGTGCCAAAATCGTGATGGCCTATTTTTTTTCAGACTTATGGAAAAAGAAAGGCTGTTGCTTTCTTTCTGCCCTGGCAGACTGTAAGATTTGTGAGACTGTTTCACATTTCGTCTGCTGCATAGCTTATAAAAGCTTATTTCTAAAAAGCTATAAAAAGGGGTAAGAAGTACCTTAGCTACTGAATACCTTCTGAAGTATCATGAACCCCTGAAATCTATTGAAAGATATTTAAAAACTAAATTGCTTTCCTTCCTCTAGCACTATATAATACTTTTGCGCCCCTCTAAACATCAACTAGTAAGAAAGTGTATCTCGTCTCCATGGCACAGCACTTAAGCCAGAGGAAAATTAGATTGGTATGTGGATACTGATGTAGATCACCAGCTACAACAAAGCATGAAATAAAAATATGATGCAACAAGGCACTTTGCATGCAGCATTCTTACGGTATGACTTTGCACTGATACTGCCTTCCTCCTCTGCCATTTTTGCTTGGATCTCCTTTAGAGGCATTAAGAATTGATCTTGCAATGGAGAGTACTTACTGGCTATCTAATAAAAACCTGTGACGGGTATATTCACATGGGCAATGCGACCAGTCCATCCTAAAATTCCTATCAGTGCTGACCGTTATGGAGAATTTCATAGGAAATAAGTTTTCCCCTAAAATAAGAAATATTCAATTAAGATTAAAATGGGTGTATTATAGTAGAGTTACTCTTTGTCAAGAAACATAAAGGATTAGGGAAAATAATAACAAGAAAAAAAATCCCATTATATTTATTGGCCAAGCAGTCTCCAGTTACAGCAAAATACTTGTCTGTCTCATGCTCTGCTGTTACATTTCTTGTATCTCTGAATGAGAACCATCTTTTATATTGTCTTGTCATGCACGACAAAGGGAACTGTCATTGAAATGGAATGGCAGTAAATTTAAAGCAATAAAAGAAAGTATATTCTTGGCATACATAATGATTCTAGTAGTTCTCCTTGCTGTGTAATATTAGTCCTATCCCATGGCTGGAGTTGGATGGTTAAGTATTTTAAAGATGATTAACAATAGTTTGAGCAAAGACAGTAGAAATGAACATTTAGGATATACGCATCTCATGCTTCACGTCATAAGCCAGTGGGAAGGGATGAATGCTCCCCAACATCCTTAGTGTGGCTTCATCTTTTGTGTGCCTCCTGTGCTGTGGCTGACACTTCCTGAGAGCTGGATAACAGAGGTGCCAACATCGGTGTTTCAACTTAGATCAGAAGTTATTGGAAGGAAGGATTTTTCCTGATTGTTCACATGAGGAACAGTCTTGCAACAAATGGACAGAACTCCTTTTAGATTAAATTTACATGAAAGGCACTGTTCTAACACTCTGCAGCTACTAAAGGGCACTCAGTCCCCAGGGCCAGGATGCAGTTCAGGATATAGTTCAAAGTAAAATTCTCTTAAAATCCTTGTGCATAGTGTCCATGGTACCAACAGAGCCTGTGCTCCTGCTATTACACGTCACTTGCTAGCACGGATACAGCTTATAGGGTTTCATCTAGGCTTCAGTTTTCTTCTTCTTCCCAGGGGTGATTTCACTGCTGTACTGCAAAGGTACTATTTGCAGAAATTGGTGCCAGGGAAGGGGGCCTGGAAAGTCTTGTTCAAGAGCTTACTGAGTGCAGTGGAACCACACAACCTATTTCTGTCCACTTGCTGTGATGATTCCCCTTTTTCTGTAACTGGAGACTGTAATAGAAGGATGGCCATATCTCTTAAGACAAAGTATGATCGAGCCCGGTATTCAACAGTGGCTTATTATGGAAAAGCATAAGATGGGCCAGGTGTTTAGTGCTACATCCCAAAGACAGTCTCCTGGCCTCTAAGAATTTCCAGCAATGATACCTTTATATTTAACAGCCGATGATAATTTTCTCTCTTGTGATCTTTGCTAGTCTCTCCTTGGGTTCCTGTCAAGTTGTAGCATTTGCAACACCCTTTAGCAAGGAATTTCCAAACTTAACTACATGCTGTGAAAATAATTAGATTTTGGTTATTTTGAACCTGTCACTTACTAGTTTTTTCTAATGCTCTGTAACTTTTGTGTTGGAAGAGGGGGTAAATAAATGCTCTCAAACCACGTCTTCTACACCATCCATGATGTTTAAGAACTCATCTCTTTCTCTTGCAGGCAGGGGAAAAAATATAGCTTTGTAGCTTTTTAGCTGTTATTAGCTGTTTGTTACCTGGGGTCATCAGAAAAAAACAGATTTTTATTTTTTTCTGTGTGTAATACAACGTAAGATCATGTGGCCCAGCACCCAGTTCATGACTATGTGTAATAGAAGCTTAAGGATGAATTCAAAGTGGTCCTTTCTTCATATACTTCTAGTTACCAGTGGCTTAGGGATTTTCTAAGGATGAGAATGCATCTTGGACCATCATGCTAAACAGGCACGTTTTACTTTCTGTGGTGTTGAAAGCAGTGTTGTCCACTCTACACACAGTGTGCAGCTACAGTGTCACTCTTTCTATTACTGGTCCCTTTAAAGGCCTGTGGACTGATGCAGAGCTGTATGTTCTCCCTGCACATAAGGGTAGGTTTGAAATTTCTAGTAGTTGGAGGGCAATTCTAATTCTTCATTATTTTAGCAGAGATCACCATCCAAGTGCTTCTGTTGCTGTCTGTATTTGAGCTGTAATAATACCTGGCGCTCCTATAGTAAGATTGCATCTTGAGGAGATTATCTCTGGGAGCAATAAAAAGGGAATAAATATCATAAGAAAATACATGCAAAAAAAAGTTTATTAGTAACCCTAACACTGATATGAAAATACTCTTTAATGATAAATACGTTTGAGAATATAAACAAAACATATTGGAGCTAGTAGTCCCTATGTGCTGTGTTTGTATGAATGGATGTCTATATTAATGTGGACTTTGATCCAGATTATTTAGACAGATTGTGATCATCAACACAGGCTAGAAATCCAGGTGCTCTTTTCCTCCAAATATATTTTCTTCTGGTGTGTACAACTGTTTATTTTCACAGGAGCAGCTCACAGCATGGGATTTCATGAGTGGTATGGGAATTGGGTGCCAGTGAATCAGGGCTAATCAGGTACTGTTAGGCTGATATTCCCACAAAGGTGAAATTAATTTTCTATCCCAAAACTTGTGCAGAAGGCTTTCTTGCATGACCCAGGAACAAGATAGCTGCATTTTAGTTTTCCTTCTCACTGAGAAAAGGCAGAAGAGATGATTTCTGATGGAACGTGGATGGCCCCAATGTTTCAATCCCATAGCCTCCATCAAATTTCACTGTGGCCTGCAGTGCACTGCTTTATTTTATGAATTCCTTTATTTGTAAAGCTAGCTTTCAAATAATTGCTATCTTACTTCAAACATGCATCCTTAGGAAGAATTAGCTCATATTTGTAAAGCAATTTGAGGAAGGAAAGTGATGGTTTATTGCTACTTATCATTAATATGTTTTTATTGCTGTATCGTTTTCTCTAATGACTCCCTAAAAGCCAAATGGCTTACTGAATAAATGAAAAATGGTCCATCTAGAACCAGACAAGCTGCTCAGTCCGTATGTTTAAAATACACCACTGATGGGCTGTGGAATTAAAGACGGAATTTTAGGTTTTATTAGTGGAGGTTTTGGTAGAGAAGAATTTCTCCCATGATTATTACAAAGCAGAACAAAACAAAACATTTCACGCCCATCAGGGGCTGAAATAATTATTTTTTATTTTTTTTTAAATAGGATTTAGGACAAGAAACAGTGAGATATGTGAGAAACATTAAGAAGCACTAGTATAAGTGAATGGAATAGAGCATTTTGTCCAGTGTCAGCCCTCTGTTCCAGCACTCATATCATACGTACTGTCACTCAGTTCCTGTGCCCACACCAAATGGCAGAGTAGATCTGCCCAGCCAGAAGCAACTGGCCAGCTGGTCTTTGTGAAGCCATTTGATTACGCTCCATTACTAAACCTGAATATGCCAAATCGCCATCATTATGAAGAATCTGCACTTTGAATTTCTCTGAGTGTAATACCTGAGGCATTAGGGGAAGGATTAAAAAAAATCAAAACCAACACAAACTATGGAGAGGTGACACAAGCCTTTTTACGAGTAGGCCTTAGTTGGTGGTGTGGTCCATCTGGTGGGCTGGTTTGCATATATGTTGGGGGCACCTGAAGAAGCTGCAGTGAGCACTTCTACATGGCAGGCAGACAGGGAGAGCTGCCTCCACTTCAGAGTATTGATAGGGTTGTTCTCAAATACCATGTATGGACAAATTTGAGCTCAGTCCCTCACTTACAAGACTAGCGCGTCTCTGGATGGGGCTTTGGTTGTTCATTTAAATCTCCTTCTTGGTGTACTTGACAGCATCATTGCACTGGACACCAATAGGCTCATTTTCCCTGCAGGCGTCTATCTCTCTGTTCCTTTCCACAGCAGCTAGGATAAGAAGGACCTTAATTATAGAAGCATTGAGGCGATGACCTGTTAGATGTTACTAACACTTTGCACTGGATCTTGGACATTGCCCAGCATGTAGGACATTTTGGTAAAGCTCAGCTTGTCAAAAAGAAAACTGGCTCAAAAATTCATGACTTGATAGAGAGACTGAATTAGAAAATTCTGGGTAGTGATGGGTTACTTAATGTAGTAGAGAGAGGCTTGATAGAAGCCAATGACTAAAGGACCCAGACAGTTGCAAATCTGAAATCTAACCAGTGAAGGTGACCGACAAACTGTTCAATGCAGTTCTGGAATTTCCATCAGTGTAGCCATTGACCCACATGAATCCTTTCTCTGGCTAAAATAGGCTTTAACTGAACTTAATTTTTTAGGCTGTAACTTATCATTTGTTGCCTATGTTGTATGCAAGGATAAATATGATCCAATATTCTTTTCCAGCCTTAGAATTTAGACCAAAGTTATATGTCTGCTGAAATTGTATTCTATAAAATGAAACTCTTCTGTGGGAGAATAAAATCTCATATTTTCTGGTAATATTAGGCTTTTTTCTCTTTAAAACTATAAAGAAATATTTTCTTCTATCTGTTTGATCTGAATCAGACCATCTTGGTGTTTTGGAACTTGATAAAAAAATCTTGATCTGAGTCAACTCAATAAAACAATAAACTTAATTTGCCAATCAGAACACTTCCACACAGACAGACATGTGCTTGATTCCAGTCTCTATTAAAAAAAAAATAATTCAAAAAATTGTTTATATTTTGAGCAAATGACTGCAATGAGAGAATGTTTTGTTCTAAATCTTTCAAGTCTATAGAAATCCATTTTAAAAGGCATTCTTTCTCATTTTTTTTCTTCCTTTGTCTTTAGCTACGAAATCTAAGAAGAAGCATAACATTTTGGAGAAGTGTTTTTAAAAGTGTGTGTGAAAATGCCCCAGTAGAAGAACCTTCTCCATGAATCCTGTCATTTCATCATCCCAAACTCTGTTTAGTGTCTAAGAGCTTTGAGGCTGGTCCAATGTATCTGACTTCAATGAACTGATTTAGCCTGGCACAATCACCTGGGAAGAGTTCAAGATGTAAACTTTCTTGTACTCAGGAGGGATTTAATTTTTTTTTCCTGTTTATTCTAGGGCTTTCAACAGAAATTCTCCTTCCATAGTAAAGAGATTGTGGCCATCAGCTGTTCCTGGTGCAAGCTGGCAGTAAGTGAACAATATTCAGGGAGACTCACTGAGCGGCCACATTGCAAGCAATTCCATTTTTCCTTGCTCTCAGGGTTCCCTCTCTGTGAATCATCCCTAGTTTTGCCATTTCTGTTCCTTTTGTTAAAAGTTGCCATTAACTTCACCTGGCTGACACGAGTCCTCTAGGAGAAGAGTCTTGTTGCCCAATGTAGTCACTGGCCTCCTATCGATGGCCTGCTGCTGCTAGCTCAGGGACCCAAAGGGCTCTTTAATACATGCAGCTGCATCAACTATGTTGTTGTCTTCAGTCTGTGAACTGTATATAAGTAGGAGTGACTGGTGGCTTTCTTTGGTGGGTTTTTTGGGGGGGGGTGGGGGGAGGGGGAGGGTTGGTGTTTGGGGTTTTTGTTTCTTTTGTAAGAAGGCATGGGTAGGGAAAGTGATCTTTAGTTATATGATCCTAAACTCCATGGTTTCAAGGACTTGAGGATGGTGGAGTTGGAAAGATTGCTGTGGTATTTGTACTGTCACCCTTTTCCACCTCTCTGAGTTTTCCCTTCTCCTTTGTCTGGCTTTGCCTCCTTATTGACTCTACTCTTTTCTCCTCTTTCAGTTTCATAATAAAGTCACCTGTTTCATGTTACATCACATCGAGGAGCCGTGTTCCCTGGGGGCTCATGCTGCTGTCATTGTGCCTCCCACCTGGATCATTAAGGTGAAGAAACCTCAGGTAACTGCATGCTGAGGTCTGTTTCTGAAGCTGTATGGCTGCGCAGGGCCAGCCTGGCTTCGCCGCTCAGTCTACTCCTTCACTAAGGCATGCTTGTTCAACCCTGTCTCTATCCCTGAAACCCAGCATACATCCATGGTGATTATGAACCCGTATCCTCCTGCCCCTCCATCCAGCCCTTCAGTAAGTTTCCCTGTTTGGGATGATTAGCAACAAACATGACTTCTGTTCTGAGCAAATCCAGCTCAGGTTTGTTCCTGCCACTGTGAGTTTAGCAAGCATACTGCAAGAAATCCCCTGCATTGTAGACAGCCAAGCATGTTTCATTAAATAGAGCTGAGCAAATAGAGGGAAAAACCATTCACAAACATTCACTTGAACTGCAGAAAGAATTGGCTGTGGCTGGACTGCTGTCCCTCTGAATCTGCCATCAATGGGCATTTAAAAAATCATGTCTTATTTACATCAGTGCTTGCTGAAGGGGAGCAGTAAGCCCACGTGCTTATTTAGTTGAAGGTAACAAGCTTTTGTGATGGATGCGATACATCTCAGAGATCATAATTCACTGGTGAACACAATAGCGAGAAATAGCATCCAAAAGAGCTGGCCAAAAATTAAAAGGGGATTCTTATCATGCAAGAAATACTTTTTTTTCATTTCATTTGAAAGTCTGTTTTCACTCAAGATAGAACTGAAACAAAAAAACACTGAATATATTAGGGAGCCAGAAATGCTGGTAAAAATTTTTATTTCAGAAGCACTGAAAAAAGGTATTGGTTGGTTTTTTTTCTGAAATGAATAGTGTCTGGGATATCGTAATTTCCCATTCATTTTTTCTTGTAGTTTTCCTCTGTTCATAAGAATGCTGTTTTTATAGAGTAGTGACGTGTGGTTCTTAACATTAGTGTGTCTATCCTTGGGAAGTGACCCAGGGCTTTCTGGCTCTGTGTCCTGGTAGTCATCAAGAAACTGAGAAGTTCAGGCTGTAGGCAAGGGTCTAAGAAAAATCAGTGCCATAATACTGGAGCAGTAGTGACACTGCTCAGTTTTTAATTCCAGTCTAGGGATATGAATTTCAGATTTGTGCATGAGTAGCATTTCTAACAAAACCGGACATTGAAGACAAAAGGGAGGAGGGGAAATATACATATAGAGTAATCAAAAAGTCAGCTGAAGAGGCTGCTATTTCTCCTTTAAGTCCAGAGAAAGTAGGCAACATTCCTACCCACCTCCACTCTGAGGAAAAAAAAAAGGCTTCCTTGGCACTTGTATTTTTTCCCCATGCTCTTCTTTGTTGTTTTTACTCCAGCCTTCCTTAGAGAAATAATTTTTTTCTCTCTTGAAGAATCTATTTTAATCCTTGGCAGGAACTTAATCTCCTTGGCTAATTTTCAGCACCTGTCTGGTACTTGATAGATGTATCTGTGCCTGACCTTACAAAAAGAAGCCTTTCTTCCATATTTTTATTTTATATAATTTTTAGTTAAAAAAAAAAATAATCTACGCTTTAAAGTTTCTTTTCATTTGGCATTTGGCCAAAGCAAGGTACCTTCCTCATAATATTTTTAGAGAATTTTCTTTCTTGTCCATTATTTTTTCAGAAAAGTTCAAATAAAATAAAAAAATCCGATCTAGTTAATTATAATTAATGGAGGAAATGCATTTAAATAAAGGTTTATAGTGTTACATTAAAAGAAAATGTTAGCTTTGTGAGCCTGACTCATGAGTGGAGAGGAGGTACTTCAATATTCCCTCTCCATCACATCCTGACTCCTTGAAATTCATGGTCAGAAGCATGAATAAACCTTATCTTGAGTAATTGAAGCATTAGATAGCTCAAAATGATATTTAGCACAGACAATGGGCATATTTCCATGAAACTTCTTAACAGCACCCATTGCAGTATTAGTTCTGGGGAATGCATCCTTATTGCTGTAGAAAACACCGATGCATCTTTCAGATGTGTTTTCAGATTTTTGGCAGAAGTCTTGTTTTCTTATTTGTTGTAGTTTTAGGAAATATTTTCTCCTCTCCTGCTGTTTCTGGCCAGCTCCACTTCTGTGTATTATGACTCTTTTGACCCTACGTGCATGTTTGGTAAACACTATGAAATATTCACTCCATTCAATCCACAGAATACAAACACAACATTCACAAATTTTTGTAAATTCAGATAGTAAATAAATGTGAAACCAGCAATCTGTTTTTCACATATTCCACAATCGGAATAAATTTGGCTAGAAGCCTTTTTGTTATAAAATATTTCCTCAGCTCTAATTAACTACTTACACTGGTCACAGGCAACTGAATTCCCTATCCATATGAAACTGATTTTAGTGGTGTCTTCATCCTGTTCGTTGGTTGTTTCTTTTAAGCAAATAAGATGGCTTTTTGTAGCAAAATCTCGCCCTGATCTTTAATTTTATTGCTACAAAAATAGTTTTCCATGCTTATTTTGTACAATGTGGGTCACCACCTTTCAAATACTGGGCTTGAATAAAGAGCACACTCCCCCTCTGACTACCATTGTGGTAGCATGTGAAGCATCATTGCATAATTGGTTACAGACAAATCTCTGCTTACAACCTACATTCTAAATGGGGAGCTTTTGCTTCTTGCAAGCAATTGATTGCAAGATGAAGAATATTCAGAATGGTTCAAATAGCTTTGGGATTGGTGGTAGCCCTGTATGTAACGACCCATTTACATGAATGGAAAATCCCAATACCTATTCCATGTTATTCATAATATGAGCCTCTTCTGTAACTTCTTTACTGACTGCCAGTGTTTCTGTACTGTGTTAGCAGCACCTTGATATCAGGTCTGATTTCCTGGGGTTCAAATCAATTTCATTGCCTAGTTGGTGAAAGGAGGTCACCCCTGTTGACTGGTGGTATTTTGATATAGGTCATGTTTGGTAGCCCAAGTGGTGTTAGCTTTAGGAATGCTTATGCTGTGGGAGAAAAGTAGATAATACGGAGGATCTGGCTAAAGTAGTTACTGATTCAGTCTGTCTTCTGTTTGGGAAGGCAAAGACAGTAATTGTAAAATTCCAAGTTTTTCCTGTTTAAGGTGAGTAAACATGGTGTTTTCTTCTCCTCCTTTGAGGACCTTGAAAAAGTGCAAGTGAATATTACTGGGTTTGTCACTATTTCCTCAATTTCTGAGTGCAGCTGGCTTGTCTGATGGTGGTTTGTGAACAATCGGAAGATGATCAAGATTGACCTTCCCAGAGGCTGTTCATTATTTAAGTCGTTTAAGCCCAGCATGCTAAAAGCCTTTGAAAATGAAGGCTCAAATGCTGTAAAGGAAAATGTTGGAAGGGGTCATTGGATTTGCTTGAGATAGTCTATGGACCAACACCGTACAAGAAGGAACTCCAATTCTTCTGTTCATCTAGCTAAGCTTGCTTAGAACTAGAGCGACCATGCAATAATATCAAAAATCTCTTTTTGAAGATGACCAAACTGACATCCACAAAGGAGAGGTTTCCTCTCTAGAGGCAAGTTAGGATTTACATATGGTGCTCATTTAAAGGTATGCTTTTCTATCAGGTACTTTGCTGGATAACATTATATGTTTATAAAACTCATCACCTTGTTATCTGGACAAGGTAATATGCATCCATTTCTTCAGTTCAGTGTGCAAAGAATGATTACTCTTGGCTGTTATTCTTCTGCATGTTTGCAAAGAGAACCTGCATATGTTTAAGCAGCTTTTTTGCCTTTCATCTGCTATGGACATGCAGTTGCAATCATCGTAGCAAAGCTTTAGGTTATCTTAACACTATATGTGTAGGTGTGCTTAAAAATGGTGAAATACATGTGATGTAGCATATTTTAGTGTCTTTTTGAGTGTGGAAATGAAAATTTTTATAATTGTGAATGGAAGCTTAGACTAAAACTGTTTCTCTGATACAGTTGTATGTCTCTTCCCACCCCATCTACAGAAAAGAGATACATTATAGTGGGATGTAATGACAATTACATTTAAACATTCATTATTTTTTAAAAATTAGCTAGGATTTTACTGAACTGTCTTTGCCCTTTCTAGAAGAAAGTCACTGGACTTAGGTCCATTGTTGTGGAGACAGAATTAAAAATGCAGCTCTTCTTCCAGAGATACAGTTAAGTACTTGCCTAATATAACACCTAACTTGAGTTACAGACTACAATTTGCCAGCAGAATTCATTGCACTTTAGCAATGGGATAAGTATTTTGAATTTTACACTTGGAGAGACTGAAGCACTGGCAAAAGGCTTGATATGCCCCTGACCTTTCAGCAGACCACTGGCAAGACTGGGTAGATTAGATCTCTCTGTCCTGTGTTTTGCATCACTCCGGGGAGAATCCTTCAGCAGAGAACCACTGAGGAACTAGGCTGAGACCCCCATGGGAGGCAGCTTTGAGAGTAATGTCCTGTACTTTATGTTGATATAAAACTGTTATCTACAGTCAATCTGACTACTGAGGTAGGGCAATGAAAGAAGAACCATGCTGATGATATTGCCAATGCACTTCTGTAGTCAGTGCAGTCTTTGTGGTTTATCATGCTTTCAAGATCACTTTGTATCACAGTAGGTATCTCATATAAAAAAATACAGTCTAAAAGGGCAGATGTCCTGTAATTGCTCTGCAGAGCCATCTTGTCTTCAGTAATTTCAGTAACCAACAAGGCATAACTATGTCCTGGTCCACAAGGAGTGTTGAGAGGTGACAAGAGGCTTGAGACCTTGTGTTCTACAGCAGGGTTCCCTTGGTCTTGGTGAAAAAGGACAACATCTTTAAGTATTTTGGTTAGCTGTTAGTTTTTCTTAACTTCTCAGAGATGTGGAAACATTAGCTTCCATATCTGGTGTGTCATACTGAAGTCTTGGAATCCTGAAAGTGATTGTTAGGTATTAAACAGAATCTAGTAGCTGTTCTTGTTAATGTTGGTTAGCAAGCAGGATTAAGACATCACTGCTTACAGATGTGGTGATCTGTGGTCTCTGAATTTTTTCATTAGTAATACACTTTTAAATAAGGTAAAGAGAGAAATGAACTTTTGGATGAGATGAGTGGATCTTGTTCCCCTTCTGAAACTGGAGAAAAATATCAATAAACTTTCTTCTAATTCCTTGTGTTACTTATTTCCTGGTGACAGCTAGACAAGAGTTGAAATACTGAGAGAATAGTTACGGTATTTCCTATAATACAAAATTTCGATCATATGGAAAGGGATAGGATTTCCTGCAGGTGTGACTTCAGTTACTGAATTAATATATAAAAAAAAAGAACGTTCAAGAAGGGGACTTATTATCACATCAGAACACCGTAGTGATTCAATATCTTTGAGCAGGCTATTGCCAGCCTTGAGAATAGCTTTGGTGCAAGTTCTATTTTAATAGGTTCTGCAAAATACAAGCAGTTTGATGGTTGTTTTTTTTTCTTCTATATAGTTAAGTGATATTAGTCTTTAAAAACAAAGCAAACAAAAACCCCACAAACACCCCCCTCACCCAAATCCTTAAATATTAACAATTCAGTTTGTTCCTTAGCAGATGATTACACAAGTTTCTTGATAGGCTGGAACTGATTCCACAGTGCCAGCATCATACACCATGGTGGCCTACGTTATGTTGAGTCAGAATGGTTGCCAGAGCTAAAACTTGTTGTTTTCTTTCCTAAAAAAAAAAAAAAAAACATGAAAAATATCTCATTTATCATGTTTTTTTATTACATCTTTATGCAGGTGGTCTCCATACCAGGAGACGAGCCTGATTGGGCAGGAGACTGGAGCCCCGAAGGGGAAACGGGCGTCTCCTACCCCTATTGGGAGGGTTGGCAGGTACAACATGTGGTGTTATGTGAGTCTATGGGAGCATCTGATCTTTTTCCCCCCTCACAGCGTGGGAAAGTTTCCAGTTCCAAAGCACCAGTCTGGTCTCCGTGTGTGGCTTTCTCCATAAACGGTGGTGTGGAAGTGTAAAGCATGCAGCGCATGTAATTTAAATCTCGAGCATGTGCCAGATACTCTTATCATTCTCCAAGTGGACATGCATGGAAGAGCTTCGTAAAGGGGCTCTGTCTGGGCCTGTCTTCTAAATTTTGTTTTGCTTTTCATGTATTCTTTTTTCTTTTGGTGTAGAACTCATTGAAGACTTCAACACGGCGAAAGAAGAGAACGTCTTTTAAAAGAAAAGCCAGCAAAAGAGGCAATGAAGTAGGTATTAAAGTCCTTGGAAATCAGACTCCTTTTCTTTAAATATCTAAATGCAGACTTTAAAGTTTAATTTTTTTACTGCAGTGCCTAATATTTTTTTTCCCCACTGGAAAATTCCATGCTATTGAATTTTTTGTGGGAATAAATCAGTTTCGATAAAACTTGTAGGAGAAGTTTTATTTGCCAAGTTGATTTTTCAAGAAACAACATACCAGACTCCAGAAGGACGAGTAGTCTAATGAAACAAAATTCCCCTGGGATGTAAGAGACTTGTCTCAGACCCTTGGTTTTCAATAGGCAGAAGAAACTGGGGTTGTGAAATCCACCATGAGTGCAGTGACACAAGGGTCTGGTCCGATTTGAGGGTATCTGCCTCAGGAAGTGTCATGTTTAAAATATTCTGCTTGTGTGATTATTGACATTGGGCCATAAGAGAGAGAAAAAACAGATGAATGGTTTGGTTTGTCACATAATTTTCAGAAGACTTTGTTTCCAGACCCTGCCTAGTGGACTGGTTTTATAGGTGAACAACAGCCTCATGGGGAGAGGTAGAAGGAGACTCACCTCTGCACAGCCAGAGCTCTCTGGTTAAGGTTCTCACTTGGGTGGTGGGACAGCTGCAGACCAGAAACTTGAATCTGTGCCTGCCACAGCCCAGGAGAGTGTCCTAACTACTGGGCTGTCTAGTGTCCTGCAGGTGTAGGAAATAAGGCAAATGGTTTCCTCATTGACATGTCATGTTTGGCCTGTGACGCTTATTCAAAGGTGGGAGGGCCAGCAAGACAAAGAAATCAAGAGCACATCATCTGCAACTGAGTCAACTGAGTGCTGATACAATTTGTCTATTAGGTGGAATTAACGAAATAAGTAGTTTATCTCATTCTATTTTCCAGTGGAAAATTGTTCCTCTTGGAAATAGCACTTTATCTGGCACATTATTAGTGCTGTGTGAATAATTGTGGTTTTTTGGAAATAACATTGAGTAAAAATTTAAAATAGTTTTGTGCTGGTCTGCAGGGATTCTTGTCCCTCTCCCCGCCCCCATCTTCTTACTCAGTTGTCTCAGCTGGATAAATTAGTCCCAGCTGAGCACCATATTAACATGGCTGTACTGTTTCCAGCACCTGAGGTAGTTTTGTCAAAGCTAGGTTTGGTGTCCTACACAGGTTATGCTGTGGGAAATATGCACAGCTTGTACTAAAGCTGCCGTTGCTTCTGTTTCTTAGGATAACAAAGGTCGGCCGTTTGTGATAAAGCCTATCTCCTCTCCACTCATGAAGCCGCTGCTGGTTTTTGTCAATCCAAAAAGCGGAGGGAATCAGGTAAGAAAATCATCTGGATCCAGGTAACAAGGTTTTAGTTTAACAACAATGCTTCTGCAAAAGAGAGTAGTTTTTGGTGAGTCAGGAAGAACTCTATCCAACTGAATTGCAGTCCTTAGAAGAGGTCCTTGCTGTTGAATGGCCTTTCCACTATGCAATGGATACTTGAGTATTTGGGCAGTAGTATTCCTATCTTCAGATAGGAATCTAAAATGATAGTTTGGAGGCTTTAGAAGACTTCATCTTTCCACAGAAAATTTAGATTGCCAATGAAGTCTTAGACTTTTCTTTTATCCAATAAGTGATTTAATTTTACTAAGAAAGCCTAGTGAAATTAGCGAATGTGAAATGACACACTCTTATGGCATTAAAAATCATTACTGGTCTTGTACTGTACCATAGAGAACCAAGTTTCACTGACTAATATGATCATGCAGCAGACTTCTTTCTTAGGGTTCCTGGAATTAAAACTCATCCAAGTGAAAGTTTTGCAGACAAGTTCTGCCACTTTGTGAATATTAAATAACCTGAGTGCCTATTGATAAGGAAGGCCTTCTAGTTGAAAATAAAAGATTGATGTAATATGTGAGGCCTGCAGAGCATGGACAATAGCATTGCTGCTGCACACTTTCTCCTCTGTTAGAAGAAATAGGGAGGATACCTAATGAAACTTCTAAAACTTGGATTCAAAACAAAGAAAAAAAATTGGTCCTTCTCACAGCGTGAAATTCAGCTGCAAAACTCCTTGCCACAGGATGTTGTGGATACTAAAAATTTACAGAAAGGGGAGCTATCAAATTCCTGACTTACACATCCTAGGCTATGTAGGAAATGCATTCTTGAATTACTTTAAAATACAAGTGGGCCCTGTGGGGTTCTTAGCCCTTTTCTGCTAGTAAGAGACCCTTCTACTTTGTGTCTGGGCAGAACATGAAGGAAGGGAATCGAGTGTCTGGAATGTAAACCCAAGAGTCTGAGAAAGCAGAAATCATATCTGTAGGTGGTGGGCTGGCCATGCTGCACTGAATGAGGGAGGGTTGAGGCAGTTGTAGACCAGGGTCCTTGGCTCCTGCTTCATTGGATAGTAGAGGGCTACAGTTATGAGTGTTCGTGGTGGTGGTGGAGGTCAAAGCAGTGTCATTGCTTGGATGTTCTGCAGGACGCTGTTCAACATGATCGTTATTTTGCCCACAAGCCTGTTCAACTTCTTGCTGTCATGGATGGCTGAGGGCGGTGTGGGATAACAGAAATTTCTTTTTGCAGGTGGTGAGAGGTAGGAGAACAGGTTATTGTGGGAGCTGAACCTTGGTCTGACCCTGAATGCCTGTTCTTATGAACCATTAATGATCTGTGTTGTTAAATTTGGTTTATATGTATACATATTCACCCTGCCCAGATTAATGGGTTGCTGTTCTGTAGAGCAGTCATCTACTGTGCTGCTTTCTAGCTTTTTTCTTGGTATGTTTACTTTGTAAAGCAATTCAAATATAGTGAATAACGTTATTATTTTTAACAATCATAAAGCTATTAATAATTTCTTTTCATTTGATTTTTCTCTCAGGGCACCAAGATTCTCCAAACGTTTATGTGGTATTTGAATCCACGCCAGGTCTTTGATCTCTCTCAGGAAGGGCCAAGAGATGCGTAAGTTCTTGAGCCTTCAGGGCTGCAGACAATAATACTTTTCTTACTAGGAAAGCAGTCAAATGGTCTAACTTGGATAGATATTGGGTGTGTCAAGGTTTTGCTAGTGGTGGTGGGGTGGGCTGCAGTGGTGAATTCTGTGATGAGAGATCAGGGGCTGCTCCCTTGTCAGCCAGGCATGTCCAGACGGCTCCAAGCCAGACCTGCTGCAGATCCCACAGTGCCTGAACCATTCCCTGGTGCCTGAGCATTGCAGTGTACCTCTGCTTGCTGAGTAACTGACTCAGCTTCTCTAGGCAATAGTTGTGAACCTCTTCCAGGGGATGGAGAACCTGTCTTTAAAGGGATGATTCTCACTGTTAAGGGTTAAGAGGCTATCATTCTATGATATTTCAGATAGGGAAACTTGCTCTAGTCAACCATCTGTTCAGCTGTACTTTTACAAGTTAAGCAGCACAAAAATATAATTCTGCAAAGTCAAGTATTTACCTGTATAAGAATGGTCCATGTGTTTTATTTGTACTTCTAGAGCACCCAAGCCTTTTTTTCCTGTGGAAACACCTCCATTGCTGCTCCCCTCATGACATACAGAAACTTTAAAGTATGCATACAGCTTTCAGAGCTGTGTAATGGAGTTAAAGGGGGGTTAGGTCCTCTGGTTACTCAGCTCTCTACGTGTGAGTGTACCCCCCTCCATTGAGAGATATTTAATTATGCATCTCTTTCATGCAACTGAAGGGACACGCTATAAGGTGTGCTTTTGTTGGCTTTCCTGTTGATATCTTAGACCAGATAATCCAGAGACAGAGCTCAGTTAGGTGTTGTTGCCTTTTGTGGTGTTAAAGAAATAGTTACCAGCTGAGGGAGCTGCCATGTCCTGTGTGCTTCAGAAATGGTGGCTCAGCAAATCCTGGCGAACATTAAATTTTGTTTAAAAACCTCAATGTTTATATTTGTTTGCTTTAGGCTAAGAGAAAAATGGAGGGTTTTTTGTCATGTCTAGAGGGGACGTGAGAATCTGGCCTTTCAGATTCCACATTGGAACATGTGGTACTGATCAAGTAATTCTTGGGAGATGCTGCCTAACCATGGAGGAAGGCCCCGTTTTACATCCTAGTGGTTTTGTGTGTGTGTGTGTGTGAAGATGTAAAGTGAGTTACCAGGCTCAGGCTGGGTTGGGGCAGATGCTGCCTATGGTTGCCAGGCCTGATGCATCCTCACTGCTGAGGTTTTCAGTAACACAGTTTTTTTTTATTTTTTAAAATTTTTTCTGCCTCCACCCATGCCCCTAGTAATGAATATTTGAAAATGTAATAAGCAGTGGTCATCATTCTGACCTTTTTTTTTTTTTCCCTCTCCTTTTCTGCCTTTCCCTCCCCTGGCCAGGCTGGACCTGTACAGAAAAGTGCCAAACCTGCGGATCCTGGCCTGCGGCGGGGACGGGACGGTAGGTGGCTGGTGCCTGGCAGCCCTGTGCTCATTGCCAAGAGAGTAAATTCCTCACAGTTGTGGGTTCCCTGTCTTGTGATGCCTACAGAGGCAAGAGAATGTACCTTACACTTGTTCTACTCTTAAAAATTTCTGTGTGGCTTGGCCTGGATAGCAATGGGGCCAGATCCTAGAGTCCAAGGCCCTGTTGGCTCTATACATAAAGATATGGTACAGCTTAAAAAAATAAACACTGACTTTACTGGCCTCCTCTTGGTGTTTACACAGGTCTGAGGGTTTAGTAGGTTAACTTGATGTCTGGGGACCATTATATCTTAATTTCTGCTCCTTCTTGCTATTGTCTCCATGGTGTTGGAGTACAGTCAAGCAGGGTCTCCTCTGAACCTAAAGGCAGTTTCGTCACTTTCTTTACAAAGCATCTGTTAGGAAAGTTATAGCACTGGTCATACTACTAGCCTAGGATCTGGCAGGTCCAGGGTCAGTATTTTTCTTTGCTACTGAATTTCTGTATGTTCTCGGATAAGTGAAAAGGGTCAGATCTTTAAAAGGATTTAGGCACCTTCAGTTGGAGACAGGCTCTGTGGTTTCGGGCCTGAAGGACAAAAGTAGCCATGGAGACATTGCAACCACATTACTCTTTCCAGTACTTAGGAATATTGTAAATTTCAGTCTGTGCTACTGAGCACTTAAATGCACTCAAAAAACTGACCTTTAATCTCTGTGAAGAGCAGTTCCCTAAACATGCACTTGATAATAGTTGTAACCATAAGTGTGGTAAGGAAAATGCATTACTGCTTGCAAGGTGCAATGGCTGGCTAGGATAGATATATGTAGATATTTAAGGTACTGGGGAGCAGCTTTTTTTTTTGTGTGTGTTGAGCTGAACCAGCCTTCAACCCATCTCTGTTTGAATTTCTGCAGGAACTTTCAGTTCAGCATCTGTGGGTTCTTTTAAAATGCTAACTGTAGGGTTTATTAACATCAGTGCTTCCTCTGCAAGAGTGAAGAATATACGCAATCTGACTACTGTCTTGCTGGTACCTAGGGCAATAAAATATTACTGAATTGTGAATGTTCCTTGAGAAACCTGCAAGGCATTGCTTTAGCAGGAGACACAGCTGCAAAAAAAAGAGTTTCAATCTGTTTCTGAAATTCTTTGCAGCTTCCATGTGAGGAAGCCAATATTTTAATAAGGGGGTGGGGGAAATCCCGATCCTGAAAATATTAAAATGGGAATGAATGCAACTACATTTGAGTCTGACCATCTTTTGTTCTCTTTGAGCAGTGCAAGCGACAGGTGGCAGCACCTTCTTATTAGTATGAGCAGCACTCTGCTATTAACTTTGCTGCTGCTCAGTTTGAAGCAAATTAATATCTAGTTATTCCCAAAGCCATTACATCTAGAAATGAAAAATCTGGCTCAAATGGACTTAGTGAATATTCAATGAGACCAGATGTTACCTTGCATTATTGAGGTGAAATAGAACTTATTTTAACTTTTCCATCATTGCTGCTTGCTGTTCCTTTCCAGAGCATAAGTGGAATGCTTTGCTTTCAAAAGAGTCAGAAGCTTTCTGTTTACAGGGAAATGACAGTCTTTGTCATCCCTGATTGTAAAACTAATGTGCTAGGTTTAGAAATGACCTCAAGTTAAATAGCAATCTTGTACTTATAAATTAGTAATTTGAAGTTTCTGTTAAAAGCATTTACAAAAGTGGTAGGTATTGTAATGCTACCTGCATCAGTGAGAGGCTGAGGCACAGATGTATGGATTAAGTCATTGGCAATGACAAAGGGCTAATGACAGAAGACTCTTTAAGAAGTCCTGGCCTTAGGGAAGTTATGGAGGCTCTTTATTCTGTCTCCTTTTATCAATATTGAAGGATAGGTTTTTGAAAGGTAGAGGATTAAGTATTTCTGAAAATCTTTTAATGACTGTACTTAGTCCTGCCATGATGCCTATGATAGACCTAAGTATCTTTATTGACATCCAAGTTCATGAGAGTTGTAAGTGATTCAGATGACTGTTGTCAGACAATGAACTCTAATGTGGATTCACATCCCAGGTGAATGCTGTAATTGCACTATTGGTTATGATAAATAACTGATAAATGCTGTTTATACTTAATTACATTTCTTCAAGAGACTTGGAGAAAGACATAGCCTAAAATACCAAATAGGGTGATGGTTGCTATATCTATCAGGCCACCCCCACTCCAGTTCTTCAAATTCCAGCTGTGGTTCCCAATGCCCGTGTTATGCTGGGTACCTTTCATGAAACTCCAGCTTCATCCCATTTTGGGGTAAGAATCTATTTGAAATCATAGCAATAAGGAGTTGGGGATTTTTCTTCTGCCCATAGTGGTGGTGGGGAAAATCCTGTCCAGTTGTAGTCTGTATTTCAGTTTTATGTCTTATTTAAAAGGTCACATTTCTGGTAGCAACTGCATCTTTGAACATTAGCATTAGGAAGAAAAACAAATAAAATTTTGTTTGTTGAATATTTATATTTAATTTTTTTCTTAATTCTTTATTTAAAAATGCAGTACAGGTTCTTTCACAGATATTATTCTTCTTGTAAAGGTGAAAAATAGTTTAAGAAATAGCCTTATTTTCTTGTAGTGAAAATTTCAGTCATAAAAGTTTCAGAACATTTTCAGCAACTCTTCTTTACCCCCTTGGAAATTACCATTTGATGTATACAAAATGCAGTAATTTGTTACATCTAGGTAGATTTTGACTTAAAAGTTTTATGTAGTCCAGAATAGGGACAGGAGAGAGAATCAACTCTCTAAAATAACCAATAGTTTACAATACAAAAGAGCCAGATTCATTGTTCCAACCCAGTCTTCAACCCTGAACAATAGAGTTTGTTTTATCCTAGTCTTTTAGTTTTCTATTTATATATGTGTGTGTATATGACTAGAATATATACATATATATTATGCTTTGCAATGAGTGAAATAAGAGACATTCAGCAATATGGTATCTTGTCTTAGGAATGGGAGACCTCTGGGCAAGTCCATGCTTGACTTGATCTGTACCCTCTGTTCCGGTTCCAGGACATGCTTTGAGATACCATGCTGTTTCAATATGTCTCTTACATTTTCTTTCATGACAGTTGTAAAAAAGTTTAACTTCTTTTAGCATAAGGGCGCTCTAAAACATTTATCTTGAATTATGTGTGTTATTCTTCACTCATTTTTACATACAGTATTTGTTGGAGTGATAGTTAGCTGACCTTAGCCAAGTGTAATTCTATGTGTTTTCATTTCCTGCTAAAAGAACAGAAACTTTTGTGCTCCCTTTCCTCAGTAACTCTGTGTTAAAAGACAGGTAGTGTTTACATCCCACTGCTTCTGCTTACTCAGGAGCTTCATGAAAACTGCTGTACCTGTAACTGCCTCAGATAAGGCAGTTGCAGAGTTAAATTTCAGTTACCCTCATTTTTTCTTTTCCCATCTGTTTTACTTGATCTGCTCTGCAAAGGGGATACGATCAAAATATGTTTTTTTCCTTTTTTCTATCCTTTTTAATCTTCCTGACTAAGAGTTCTCTGTATTTCCTTTTTTATAGGTGGGCTGGATCCTCTCTGTCCTTGATGAGCTGCAACTCAGCCCTCCGCCTCCTGTGGCTGTCCTTCCTCTTGGCACTGGGAATGACCTTGCCCGCACCCTCAACTGGGGTGGGGTAAGCACTGACTGGGGTACCCTTAGACGCAGGCTCTCCGCTTGCTGGTCTGACTTAGTTGTGTAATTGGGTAAAACTTCATTTTGGCTAAAATAGGCAGAGCTGTGTCCAAGGTCTGCTTCAGTTAGGCACAATAGTTTAGTTCAATTTCCAGTCTGGGATCTTGAATTACTAATGATGTAGTTCTTGTATAAAAGGGTATGTAGATGTATCTCTGCTATTTCAGGCAAATGATAAGAAGGGTGTGCAGACTGCTAATTTAAGCATAGTTTAAACTTTATTTCTCTGTATTTATCTTTAACTACACAACTGGAGTTACTCCAGGCAAGGCAAAAATACTTTGGGTTCCTTTCCTTATGGTTTTTGCCTATCCAAGACTTGTGTGCCTTATCAATAGTTTGTTAAAATGATTGGTGTATGAAAAATGGGCAATCTTTTCAAATGTTCTTAGGAACATATGATGTGGCCTCTATGAAAGGAGGTAAATCTGCCGGGTAATTGGTGAGTGATTGGCTTTGCTTTCACTACCCATGGCTGATACTCTGGTGACACTCCTCTGTTGTCAGGGTTACACAGATGAACCAGTGTCCAAGATCCTGTGCCATGTAGAAGATGGGACCATTGTCCAACTGGACCGCTGGAATCTCCAGGTTGAGCGCAACCCTGATTTGCCACAGGATGAGCTGGAGGATGGGGCACGTAAGGTTAGAACCTTTTTATTCCCAGGGAGACTATAGGATACTTAAGAACATCTTTGGGTTGCACCAGAAGATGCATAAGTGGGGAAGCTCTAAAAATTCCAAATTCTTTAGTTGCATCTCTTTCTTTGGCTCTTTTCATGTGTCAGTGCTTCCAGAGGTCTGTGAAACTTAATACATGCCAGCCATTTATTTATTGCTTGCAAGTCCCAGACACTGAGAATTTCTCTCAAGAACTGTCCTGGCACAATACCTTGTGTCTTATCTGAAAGGTGGTGGTTTTTTTTTTTTTTTTTTTTTTCCTTTGGTTAACCTGGGGTGGCAGAAGAGCAACCTTATGACTGCCATTCATTCCTAAATTAGACTTATAAGTCTAAAAAAGGGATGTAGAATTTTATTCTTTTGGGTTTTGCTAATGGATACCGAATGTTTCTTATGTTACAGCGAAGTGTACTTTATTTTTGTATTTAAATTCTTTGTATGTGGGTCTCCATATGATCTTGATAGTTGAAGAATGAGAAAATCTTTGTGAGGGGCTTGCACTTATAATAATACATCGTTTTGACTGGAGATGATGGAATTGTTATAATCATTGAAAAAAACAAAGCCTATTGTGAACCATTTTCCTCTTCTCTGTTATAATTTCCATGTTATCTATCAGATGCTACTGTTCTCTCTCCACATGCTGGGCATGTGTAATGATGAAGAGGCCAGATGTGTGCTTCCCTGCCTCATGCATCCTCAATAGAATTAGCGCTTCTTGTCTGGGACTTGCATTGCTCCTGGTTTTATATCAAGCAGCAAGAACACAGACTGAATTTCATTCATTATGCTGAGCTTGAAGTGCCAGCAATTAGGAAAACCTTTGTATTGACATGTTAAGTGGAGCAGCATTATGGGAAATCTCAATGACAACATTTGAAGATCTGTATATGATCATAAAGCACTGTAGATTTGTTTGTGTTCTTTAGGCTTTTGTATTTGATCATCTTCCACAAGCCATGACTAACCTTCAGAGCAACCTTCTGCACACATTTCCCTAAAATGTTCCACTTTCTTCTTCTTAGGTTTTCATGAGATGCCAGAAGTAGTTAGTTCCTGGTGTGTCGTGGAATGTTTCATTCATGTTCTTTTTACATGTCTTTTTATTATCCAATTACAGCTTCCACTCAGTGTCTTCAATAATTACTTTAGCCTTGGATTTGATGCACATGTTACACTGGAATTCCATGAATCTAGAGGTAATAAGAACTTTTTATTTCCTTAGCCTTGGGAATGGGCAGTTATTTTATGAATTACCAATGGACTTGAATTTAACGTCCTGTTTTTAAAGTTCAGAAGGAAAACTGGAACATAAAAACCCAAGATATAGACACAAGTAGGAAGGAAGTGATTGTATCGTGAATTTCCAAGGGACTTCATGATTTAAAAATTAGAAAAGTACAAGAGAAAATGCCATTCACTTGAGAAAAAGGGCTAAAAGGGAAGCTTTTCAAAGGTTTTTTTTTTTTTTTATCTTCTTAAAGGAGATACCAAGTACAGATATAAAGAAAACATATGTTGATGCAGAAGTGTCAGAATAAGAGCAGAAAGAAAAGCAAATGTAAGTCAGGTGTCTGTTTTCCCTCCAGTGTGGAGGTGGCTGGAGGAGAAAAGCTGCGAGGTGGTGGAAATAGAAGGGTAGCCAGAGAACAACTGTGTTCTCAAACTGAACAGCTGTTACCTATGGATGAGTATAGCATAATATCAATGGACTAGCTACATACCCAGAGTGTCTCTATGCAAGTGAAACGTTTTAATGAAGTCCATAAAACTGTCAGGAATGTGAGCTGTTGTAGCATCTTGTTTGTCCCTTTGCTGATGGCAGTTATATAACCTTATACAGATCCAAATGTGGTTTAGCAGGTGGGCTTTTGGACTGATATGAATGGCTCTATTTATATGGTTTAGCCAAGCGTGCCTATATAAACAAACATTTTTCAGTTGTCTGTGTTCAGCTTTTTGGTCGTTTCAGCTTTATGTGCAGGTATTTTTTCACTGAGCAACAGCCTTCCCTACCTTCACTTTCATACTATCGGAGTGTCATTTCAAGATGAAAAGATAGCACTCTAATGCCATGCTAAATAAAGATAAGATACATGACGGAACGAGCTAATGCATATTTAACAATGTTTAAAACTGCTTCAAGCTTTAGGAATAATAATGAGGGGCCACAAAAGGGCACAGGAATGAAACTATGACAGCTGTATGCATTTTTTTATGAATGCATATCACTGTGCATTGCTAATGTGAGTGTATAGATGAAATGCATAGCTACTTTCTCACTTAATGGAGGCATTACTTAATAATGAAATAATGGAGCTCTAGCTCTATAAAGAATGAATGTTATTCTAGAGATGCCAGTGTTTTAAAAATTTACATGGGTGAAAAACTACTTGGCAGAGTAAGCTGTGTGTCTGTGAGCGGGTATGTGTGGCCAGGAGAGCTTTTCATAGCACAAGTGCCTGCTCTAACAAGTCATTACCGCTGGTGTCTTCTTTACCTTCTCAAATGCTAAAATATACAAATGAGTCCTATGAGTTTTAGGAGAGAAAAGCTTGTAGCCTTGGAGGTGTTGCTGGTGTGTGGGTTTTATTGTGTTTCATGTGGAATTAAGCAGTGCAAAAAAGATTTGCATCTCATTTACAGTTGATGACAATCCAGAGAAACTCTTGGCAAAACTTAAGGCACTTTCATGGCTGTTGCACTTGGTCCATTAGGATAAGTTGTTGTATGCAGTTGCTTATGTGGAGTTATTGTAGTCACATACAGTATTAAAACAAACACACACCATGCCTTGCCCCTCTAGCAGCCCTGTCAAACTAAAATAAATTAGGTTTATTTGAACACTCAGCTGATCAGGGCATTTTATGCAATAGAGATTGGTCAATTGATATATTTCGAATAAGTAGTGATCGCAGTGTCTCAGAGGAACCTGTCCATGAATGTGGTCTTTTCCATGGCAACCTCTACATGTTTCTTGTGACTAATCAGATTGAACCTTGAGGGTTGGCTCCAAGCCTAATGTATTTAGCTCTGCTTCTTCAGAAAGTGTTCTGGATAGTGACTCTTTCCAGTTTCTTCCCTGGTTATGCTTTGGTGGAGCAGAGGAGAATCAATGTACTTCATCCCTGTTGTTGTGCTGCTTGACCCCTCAGCTCTACAGGACGGTTCATTTGTAGGACACCCCCTCCCACTACACAGACACACACACACAATTTAACATGTTCCATTTCGTACTAACCTGAGAAAGATGAAGATGAAGTAAGCCTTGGATATGCAGCCAGTGATGTGCTTCTACAGTCAAAGTTGCACTCTAATCAACTTTAGGCTCTTTTCCACGTTGCAGAGAGTCCTTCTTCCCTACCCAAGCTCATCTGCAATGTCAGAAGTAGGAGCAGTTCAGAATGTTGAAAGACTGCTGAGTCCCTGACCTCAGAAAGGCTCCTTTTCTGTTCTGAACCGGGGCTTTGGTTCTGGTCAGTATTTGTTGTAAGATCCACGTAAGAGCCAGTGCTCTGATAGCTGCTGCCTGGAGCCATTAGGGATAGCGACATCAGAGAATGTGCAGCACAGGCACTGAATCTTCAGGGGCTTCCTGCTTCTTAGCATGGGGTGTTGAGACTTTCTGTAAAGAGCTGTCAGCCCAGTAAGTGAGATGAGATTTAGTTATGCAGTTAAACTAATTGTTTGAAGAGGAGGTGGTGCTGCCTGCGTTCTGGGCTTACCCACTAGTTATGCAGTTAAACTAATTGTTTGAAGAAGAGGTGGTGCTGCCTGTATTCTGGGCTTACCCGTGACACAACAAGTAGATGATACAGTAGCTGGACAAACAACCAAACAAGAAACACAAAGCAGGCAATTCATACGATGTGGAGCTTTATATTGTGAGACACAGTGACTTCAAAGAGAACTAGAATCATGTAGTCATTTCAGAAGCAGCAATTCAGAAGTGTTCCCAGGGGTGTGATGCTTTAGCCAGAAGGACTACCTTAATACTTCAAACTAATTGTTTGAAGAGGAGGTGGTGCTGCCTGCGTTCTGGGCTTACCCACGACACAACAAGTAGATGATACAGTAGCTGGACAAACAACCAAACAAGAAACACAAAGCAGGCAATTCATACGATGTGGAGCTTTATATTGTGAGACACAGTGACTTCAAAGAGAACTAGAATCATGTAGTCATTTCAGAAGCAGCAATTCAGAAGTGTTCCCAGGGGTGTGATGCTTTAGCCAGAAGGACTACCTTAATACTTCAATGTTCTCACTAAAGAATTGCTAAGCAAGGATGGGTGGTTGGTACCACCACTGAATACAATGTAGAAAGTGCTGCTTTTGAAATCTCTGTATGCCACAGGCTAGGAGAGCAGCTCCTAGAGAGGCACGAGAATGACCTGTATTTTGGGAAGCATGCCTTATACTGGGAGACTAAAGAAGCTCCATTTAGCTTATCGGAAAGAAGGTTAAGAGGCGATTTAATCACTCCCTATAAGCATTTACTCAAGAAGAAGATATCTGATAGTTGAGGGCTCTTTAATCTGACAGAGAAGTATAATAAGATTTAGCAGTTGGCAGTTGAAGTCTGAAAAGTTCAAGATAGGAAAGAAAACCACCCAGATTTATTTTAACAGTGACAATAATTAACCATTAGATGTGCATTAATACTGGACTTTTAAAATTCTCCATCACTTAGAGTCTAATCAAAATGAAACAGCTCTCTAAATAGGTTTTAGAGAAGCCACTTTTTTTTTTTTCCTTCAGGAATATTTGGCTCAAGATGTCTATCCCTCAGTACCTCTTTGTAACTTTTGTAAGAATTTAAGTGTCTGTTTCATCTCATAACTTACTAATGCTTTACCCCTGCTTCAAAGCATGGGTTAATGTTTCATGGATTTTTAATAATAATAATAAAATAATAATAAAAGTCTCACAAATGGTACTGAGGGATCATAAGATGAAATCTGAGAGGTGCTAAATTAACTGTTTGTATCCTTGTTACCTGTTTACTCATGTTTCCATCTACTTTCGCTCTACAGGAAAGGGAAAGAATTCAATATCAATGTTTGAAATATGACAGCATTTAATAGCACAGATGGGAGACTCTCACTCAGAAAAACTATATTTATGTTAATATTTTCACTGAGTGATGTGCACTAAAAGCACTGTAGTGCTAGCAGGGAACGTGAAAGCAAAATGGAGTCTACTTGTTTTATTAGGGTGCTCATATTTTTCCTTTTTATCCCTTCACAGAAGCAAATCCAGAGAAATTCAACAGCCGATTTAGAAATAAAATGTTTTATGCAGGGGTGAGTTGTGATTCATCTTACAGAATGATGCTAATGTAGTTATTTTAATGTTTTCTTAAGTACCTTTCCCCTCACTGTCTCACATCAGGAGTTTGTGCCGGTTCATTTTGCTTGTTGCAATTTAAAGCGCACATGTACTGTTTCTGATGTGTTTGTTGCAAAGTGCCTGAAGCACTGCTGTTTTACAGTGCTTGTTTATGCCACTCATTTGGGCATAATACTGGTCACGTCTTGCTCCCCCTGTTTCTGGCTCATAAGCTTTTCAACAGACTGCTCTGCTTCTTTCAGGGGTTGGGCAGCATATTGATATTGGCTTTCCTACAGACATTCCTTGAGAGTCAACCTGTATCTTTGTTGCTTTGAGGAGCTGTCTTGGATGTAGGGTCATGGGGAGTGAAGGGCACATATCAGCTATTTGGAGTAATTAATTTTCATACGTGCATATGCAAATAATATCACCCAGTTCTGCATGCAGGAGGTACATAGACAATACTTTATTCTAAGATTCACTTATTAAGAGAGAAACACTAATTTCATAACGCGTGACATATAATGTTTTTCTGGATAATGACTCCCACCGTACCCATGTGCAGAACATGGAAACAAATATGTGAGCAAGAATTTGCATTTAAATCCTTGGGTGCCCAAGGACCTTCCCTGATTAACCTCTTAAAAGGAGAAGTATTCTGATTGGAAAAAAAAATAAAAAAATCTCCTGAGAACAAGAAAGAATAGGTTTGACAAAGGAATAACATTTTGGTAATTAGCGCTATTGTGGGATAAGAAATGAGGAAAGAGAAGAGAGGGAAGTGCTGGTGACAATTCCTGCACTTTTTTCTATTGCAGGCAGCCTTTACAGACTTTCTGCAAAGAAGCTCAAGAGATTTATCCAAGCATGTTAAAGTTGTGGTAAGTATAAGAACTTGTGTCATAGTATTGTGGAAAGAGGGGGGGGAATGGAGAGAGAGAGGTGAGAAGAGTTTAATGGCTCTGTTACTTTTCAGTTTTGAGCATGACATTTGCAACACATTCCAAGGAAAGTCTTGGGAAAGTTGTTACAAAGCAGCAACACTTCTCTTGTCTGTGGCACCATTCAGCAATTTCTCTGTGCTCTGTCACTTTGGCTTTGTAGTGTGATGGTACAGACCTGACTCCAAAGATCCAGGAGCTGAAGTTCCAGTGTATAGTGTTTTTAAACATACCCAGGTAAGCTCAAGACAGATGCTTGAAGTGATATATATGTATAAAAAAAAAAGATACCTACAAGTTTTCCTAGATTGGGTGGATGGGCAGGAAAAGTATTGCCACTGTGCTGCCTTCTTGAGGGCATTTATAATACTGTTAATTAGCAATATGGAATGGGCTCATAGTTCAGGATGCAGCTAAGCCATCCTTTTAGAAGTTGAAGATCCTGATACAGAGATAGTAGAAATATGTGTGGAAAAAAAGGGGGTGGGGAAGCAGAAGCGTGGAGAAGAAAGGATCAATATGTTTCCAGTAAAGGAACACAAAACCATTGAAAGAAGCGTTGTGTTTTACCATTTTAGAATATGTCCAAATTGAAATATGGCTGTATTCTTAAAAGTTGTCTATCTCCTACTCTCCAAAACAGTACTCACCAAACTTTTTTTTGACTGTGTGGCCCTATCAGTAACAAAATTTTTGAGCACCACCCAAATGAATGTACGTTATAAATGTACTACTATACTAATATATTACACACATTACAAAACATACACAAAAATAGAAATTAAGAAAGGATGTGATTAAACATGAAACAAATATTATTTTAATGAGTCTTTTTCCTTATTTATTAAAAGTACAAACAATATTTTATTTACACACCCTAATTGTCTTGTCAGTTATGGATTTTTATTGAACACTCTCTGTGGTGCACATGCTGCACTTTAGAGACTACTGCTTTAGACAGTCTAGCACTCTGCTCCACAAGCAGTACCAAGCACTTGATCTTTTGGGTCCTGCACTGCCCTCACTGCAAGCTTCTACTTGGTGTCACCTCTCCAAAGTTCCCCCGTTTATCACTTAGGTCACTTGTACATCCATTCTGTAATGGCAGGAAAGATAGATGCCAGAGCTGCGTCTGTTCCTGCTTCTAATTTCTCCCTGCCTCCTCAAGCTATGAAATGTTTTACATCCCTTATGCTGTTAGAGCTTCTGAGCCAGCAGGGGGAGAGGAAACAGAGCTCCAAGGCTGAAGTTGCTGCTGCAGCCCCATGCCTGCCTAGCAGAGGAACTAAGCAGCTTTCTGGCTCAACAGATCACCTGCAGAAAGCAAAGCAAGTAGGGAGAACAAAGTGCTGCTGCTGTTATCTGTTTCCTGGTGTTTCCCCATTTTCCTTGTACAGGGGAACCTGCTAAAAATTATGATGGATACATTTATGTATGATGAACCAGCTTTGAAGGGAGAGGCAGATTTCCCTTATGTCCAGTCCTTCCCAGCATAACTTTTAATTTTCCCTGAATTTGAATCCTGGAATGGATATCTAGCTACTTCTGGAGGACAGCAGTACAGGCTACTAGTCAGGCTACTAGTCAGTACCCATCAGGGAAAACTGCTTTCTCAGAGTTTGCCTTCCAAACCTCTTCCTGTAGGTATTGTGCTGGCACGATGCCCTGGGGAAACCCTGGAGATCACAGAGACTTTGAGCCTCAGCGCCATGATGATGGCTACATTGAAGTCATTGGTTTCACCATGGCCTCACTGGTGAGTACTTTGCAGGTGCTACCAGACTTGGTGAATTTTGCGGGCAGTGTTAGAGAGTGCAAACGTGTCCTTACTAAAGATCCGCTGTGATTCCACATATTCAGTCAGTCAAAGCCCAAACGTCCTCTAGTAGGTTTTTAAATGAGGGCAAATGGCAGTTTTCAAATAAAAGAATTGTAATTTAATAATAAAAATGTACTTTTTGCAAAATATGGCTATTTTGCAAGATTATTACAGTAAAAAACAGCATGCATGTGTGTTTTTATTGTGGGAATGTTCTATTGTCAAATAACTACTGCCATTTTTTGTTAGTTTTTATATATGTCAATCTATGGCATGAAAGTTTATTTTTTTTGTGGAAATGGCTACTAGAAACAAATATGAAATATTATATCGAATTATGTGACCATACAGTTTGCATATCACCATTAAAAATGTTGTGAAAATTTATTAATAGCTGTGGAAAATTCAGTGATGTTTCTGGCACAAATGTTATTTCTCTTTTTGTTCTGCCGGGGACAACAATTTTAATTTGGCAGTGTACTTTCTGTCAAGGCTGTCCTTAAAGTGATCTAAAGCCAAGTTTACTATAAAAGCAGTCTCACTGTAAATACCCTATTGTCCTACTGTTACAGTGGTTAAACGCAGTGACGGTCTCTTCAGAGGATGATTAAATGCAGGCAGAGAGTTGATAGTTATCCCTGTGCAGCTTGAACTTAGTGTGGCCAACAGAAAGCACACATCAGGGGTTTCTGGCAGGTTTGTTTAGGTCATGCTTAAATCCATACTCCTAAGCCTTTGTTGCTGCTATGTCTTGTGTGGACTAGGTTAAAGCTAACATGGGTAAGCTCGTTTTCACTAAACTCACATATTTATTTGTTGTGTGGCCTGCCCTCTGGGTATCTCACATTCAGTGAATACTCATGATAATGGTGTTTGCTTCCTCAAAGAGAAATTCAGACAAATCTAATCTTCAAAGTAAGCAAAAGTAGAAGTTTGCCTTGATCAGCAATCATTTATTTAGAAGTGTGGGTTAAGGATTCTGTTTAGTCTCTTTTTTTTTTTTTTTTTTTTTTTTTTTTTTTTTTTTTTGATGGGCCTAGTGGATTAGGGAAATAACATACAAATAAGCAGAATTCTATTTATTAGCCTAGCAGATCTTGTGGAATGAACACTTATTACTTCACCTCTCAAGATTTTAGGGTATATTTCTGAAAATGCTGTCAAAAATCTATTTGCCATGTACCAACTGGCAATTTTCAGCTGGAATCTTTTTTGGGTTTGCCATTAATGTGTGTCTAGCCACTCACAGTAGCTAGAGTGATCTCAAAGCTGCCAAAAATTTCAGTTGGGACTGAATTTTAGTAGTAGGGCCCTTGGAACTGCTATTTCTCTTTAAAGGAAGCCTAGTTCAGAATCGAGGATCTACGAGTCCACATTGGTTGTGATGCTGAGGAACAGCTGTAACCTTAGGCTGTGTTGGTGTAATCTGAACTTGCTCTATATGTCTCCCACATGGGCTTGGTCATACCCAAGAAGGTCTGAGAGACCAAGGAAGAGAAATACTTTATAAGAAGTGTTGTTATGAATATTATTGACCATTTGAGCCATAATACTAAGCACAGAGATGGATTAAGGTCTTGACTTCTATTTAGGCTGCTTTCTGTTAGTGCATTAATATAGAATTCTTTTTCTGCATCTGATGGATAAGAGTTAATAGGCACATTACAAATTTAAAAAAATACATTTATGCCCAAACATGTCTGCTTAGAACTTGAAGGATCTGCTTCCTGCCCTCTGTATTTCACTTCTTTGAAACGAATTCTAAAACATGATATTTAATTGTTTTTAATAAGGTTCTTCTGCTTGCGCTTTTCAGCCTGTATAGTTGCCTGGAGGTTGAGTTGCCATATAAACTTTCATAATAAGTATTTTAGATTTATCTAATTCACATTAAGGACTGTATTCTGTTCAGGAAGGGGAAATAATTTTTGTCTCACAGATGTACCGAATTAGGGTTGTTGTTTTAAAGACCAAATAATTAATAGCATTCCTGCTAGTGTAAAAACAAACCAACCAAAACAAATGGAAAACTTTGTGCGTAATCATTTGTGCATGCACTTGTGTATATATATTTGTATGTGTGTGTAATATGCTTGACATATAGTGAGGTGATGAGATGTGCAATACGTATGGTTGGGTATCTGCTTGTTGCCCACCACTTTTCCTTGTGAAATTTTAAGTTCTGCTTTGCAATTTTGGAATGAAAATACATTTACTGTGACTTGTTACAATGTCTTACACATGGAAAGCTATGTAATGGATGCTGTCAGCAAAACTGTATTTCAGATTTAACTGCTGTGACTATCTGTTCTGAGGTGTGGGGTTTTTTTTTTTATCTTTCCTGTTTGTTTTGGTTTTGTTTTTTTGGTTTTGTTTTTTTTCCAGGCTGCTCTCCAGGTGGGTGGCCATGGAGAGAGGTTGCATCAGTGCCGTGAGGTGACACTCTTAACATACAAGTCTATTCCCATGCAAGTGGATGGTGAACCATGTCGATTGGCTCCCTCGCTCATTCGAATCTCCTTAAGGAACCAAGCCAACATGGTGCAGAAGAGCAAGAGGAGAACATCCATGCCTTTGCTGAATGAGTGAGTTGGATATGTGCATGTCCTAATGGCAGGAGGCCCATTCGGGGCAGCATATTCAGTCATGGATTTTGCATGTATTGGACTTGCAGCACACTTACAAAAAAAAAAAAAAACAACCCCACAATTTTCACACTTTCTGAACTTCCTTTCCACCATATTGTAAATACTTAACTGACTTTCTTTTAATCTTTTTTCTTATGAGTTGCCCTCTGTTTTGCTTTTAGAAAGATGTGGTATTTTTCAGTTGTTTAGAGAGGTTTGTGCAGGCTCAGCAGTGTGCCTCTTGGCTTCTGACAGTTCTGCATATGTGTGCCTTTTGCCTGTGAAATTATTTTGATTCATTTTCTCAACTTTATTGATCTGCTTTTTAAGTTCCCTTGGAAATCCTGTAACAAATGGCCATAATCAAGAATTACTCAGGACATCTTGTAGTCTCCGTTGTGGGAGTATGCTGCCTGGGACTGTTTAAGGAGTAGGGCCTGGAGGTCAGCAAGGGCTGTTTGCACTTTGTAGGGAATGCTGCTCCAGTGTAAAAACACAAATGAGAAATGAGTAGTCCAAACAGAAATAGAATAAACGTAAGATAACTGGGAATCAGGAACAGGCAAAGAAGGAAAGACAAGGCTAACATTCCTTTTCATAATTAAACCTTTATTGTAAACACTGCAGCAATATTTTAACACCAAAAAAAGATAATAGAATTTTGACGTGTGAAAATGCTCACCCAATAAAGTAATTTAGATTATTTTGAAAAGCTGGGTTTTGTATTTCTCATATAGAAGGCCTTCACTGCTGCTAAAGTGAGTGACATAGTAAGTGCCTTTGCTGTTTTTCATCAAGTATTCTTAAAGTGAGGCAAACCAGTCTGTTGCTTCTACAAAGATACTGAGCTAAAAGCCTAAAGTTATCACGGATCCACATTTCATTCAAACATCCATGTGGTGAGGATTTCGTGTTTCTGGGGATGTGAGTGGGAGATTTTGCTGTTGCAGCTGTAATGGTGAGGCATGGTTTATGAAGAGATGTAATATTTTTTGGTAGACTAACTCACATAAGTGGAAAAAACAGTCAAGGTCTCAGGCACACCTTTTCTCATCAGGTATCTCTGGTAGACTAACTCACATAAGTGGAAAAAACTCAAGGTCTCAGGCACACCTTTTCTCATGAGGTATCTTAAAGGTTGTCTGTCTTTCAGCTGTGTCTTCTAGTGGAAGATAATGCTTCACTTAAAACTTTGACTCTGGCCCTTTAGAGCTTCTTGTCATCTGCTGGCTGTCAATCTGTTCATGTAATCAAAGCCTCCCTGGTTACATCTTCCTGTTCAATTTAGAACTCTGTTCTTTTACTGAGACTAATGCTTTCAGCTTCAGTAGAAGCCCATATCTGTTATGTGCAATTTCTATTTGCCTGGAAAATACATAAGGTATACTCATCTCTTTTGAGCAGTGAAGAAGAGCAGACTCTTTCCTGTAGGCAGCGATGCCTGATTTCATCCAACCACAACTCAATCGTTTGTGAAAGCTAGAATTGAGCAGAGAGCAATCCAGGGATGTCTTTTTCTACACCGAGGGAGGCTAACACAAATGTAAAATTAAAATTCCTGGTATTTAGATCTGATAATTAGCATGATTAGGCTTGGATTTTGGGATCTGAGTCTAAAATGGGGTAGAGAAATACAGATTCATAATATATGCCAGTCTTCAAGAAAAACTTGTTTGTAGTTTAGCTTGATTTCAATGTGCTATGGTAGACTACATTGCTCTCAGTCCTTTGATTTGGCTGAGATATTTGCAGACCTGTGTCTTGGGAGAACAAAAATGATCTGTCAGGGACTCTAGTTTCAGCCTTGTGTATCAGAAATGACGTGTATATATTTATATCTACATTTATACCTCTACATCAGTGTGTGTATGTACTTTGCTCTCAAGTGTTGAAGGGGAATGAGGGAGAGGAGTTGAATCTCCTGGCGTGATAAGAAGTTAATGTTATGTTAAAGGTTAAACTCTAGGAAGCATTCAGTATTGTAAGAAATTCATTCAATATGATGCTGATTTGCAATATTTCACAAGAGAGAAAATTTTCAATTAAATAAGTTTACCTACATTTCTGAACTTGATATCTGAAATGTGTCCTCCTATTCTATTGAAATCTTCCAGAAAGCCTTATTTTTCATTGAACATGCAAAATTGTTCTCTTACAACTGTCATCTGAATGATAGATGTGTGAGATAAGTAAGTGGGTTTGGAGCTATCCCACTGATTGTTAGACAGCTGTTCTTCAGCTCCTTGCCAGGAAAGCAATTAAAAAATTATCTTGCATCCCAGTAATACAGAGTTGCTATTATTGTCATCTTTGCTGATGCAGTAAGAAAGCTCTTTGGAGTTTTAGCTAGTCCAGTGTCATAAGTAGAAAAAGATTTAATTTTAAGTCTTACACTGTGTTTCTGTTTTCTTACTCTTTTCTCCTTTGTTCTGGAGGTTTTAAGGAGAGGGGCTTTAGAGAGGAGAGTGAGTTTGTCGTTTGCCTCATGGATGCACTTGAGCTTCTAGGGAATAATAGTACTTTAAGTTGAAGAGCTCATATGTAATGTAGCTGAGTGAGAAGAACAGAGATTTCATGCTTCTCACTTGGGAGCAGGAGGGCTTTAGAAACGTGATTCTCTTCTGACTGTAAGAGTTGCCCATCTTCCTGATTGCAACTATTCTCCTTCAAAACCTGTAGACACTCTGAGAGGACGCTTATATAAGAAAATAAAGGATCTGACCTTGTTTGACCTGTTGTTTTTTTCCCCTCCATTTTTGTACTCTTGTTCTTCCAGCACCTTCTAATTGTATCAGAAACTGACCCTTGTGGTTCTACACAGACTTTCAATGCTGAAATTCCTATATGCTTAGAGTCCTTGTTTTATTTGTTATTGAATAATTTGCCTTTTTCAAGGTGTGGGGGAAAATTCAGCAATGCTTTTGACAGTGTAAAAGTTCCTAGTCTTTTCTAATCTTAAAAAAACCCCAAATAATGCAAAAACAAAACAAAAAGAGCCCCAAAAGGCTGGCCACGGAATCAAATGAAGGAATAAAAAGACAGTGTTTCTGTGGAGGTACGTGAACTGAAGAAGCGTCCCTTCCCTGTTGATAGCAGCAGCATGAAAAGCTTCATCCAAGCTGCTAGAAAACCAATAAATATAATGTACTACATTTTTTCATAGCTGCGCAAATTGCTGACAATTAATATTTTATTCAGTTATTTCATGTTTTGTGAATTTCCTACAAATTTCTCAGTATATTAATTGTCCTGAACTATTCATGGACTAGTTGCTGTAACTAGTGATCTTTCTCCTTACTGTTCATCAAGCAATCATTGTAAAAATATTTCCTTTTGGGAAATTAGGCTGGTTTGATGTGATGTACAGATTATGTGAATACTCTTGAGTAGGTGAGGATGACCTATTTATGGTTTGTACTCTTCTGATAACTTTAAAATCTTGATTTGAAGCATAGTGGAGGAAAGTCCTTACCTGGTGAATACAGTTACAGTGCTTATAATTTGTTTCTAATGGAGGCTGTCCAAATGTAAAAGACAGTCATAATCTCTTCTTCATCCTACGATGCATTGCTCTACAATGGAGATAAGTAACAATCCAATTAAGTGTTTCAAGCCAGAAGCAACTTCTTCTTATGCTGCAAAGAATATACAGGATAAGGTGATCCTGTTCACCCTTAGTTATGCAGAGAAACACGGCAGATAGGTAGTGGGATTTTGAGGGGAAAAAAGGTGGATTTCTTTTCTTCTTATATGTCTTTTCTGTTCGTACTAGCAAAAGAAAATTTTTCCTGCAGCCAGATCATCAGACTCAGTTTTTCTATAAAGCAGTGAATTATGTTCTTATTCTCCTTCCCTTAAAAAACTTGCTAGCTAAGTTCTCATTCCTGTTCTCTGCTATTGATCATAGTGACATGTGAAAGAGACAACATATAGCTTGGTTTCCTGTGATAAAGCCAAGAGTATGGTTCTTGTGAGCTATAAGCAAAATGTCTATGGAATAAAAAGAGAAGCTGCGGTTCTATTTTCCAGGAGTCATTTTCTGATTAGAAACTACAGTTTAGTATGCTGCTCAGTAAGTTTCACTTAATGATCACTTTCTGAACCTCAAACTGATGGTATTTTGTTTTCACTGGCTTTTAGTTTGGGTTGAGGAAGAATGTCCTGCATGATGAAAGGGAAAGAAGGGGAAAGAGCTTATAGATGAAACATATTCCATACCCTTTAGAGAAACAAAGGGGCCATCTGAGTATAAACACTAAGAGAGTCAGTTCTGGGAGACGCTATATATAAAATGCATGTTTCCCTAAGGTACATGAAAGAAGACTGGAGACAGCAATTTGTCATTGTGGATACAAAATCTCCAGTAAGGGTATTTTTTTTCTTAAACGTTAACTGAAGTTGGCCAACCTTTGGAGACAATTCCATCCATTCAGATCTTGGCTTTGATGTTTGCATTTCTCGACCTGCTTCCAAAGTCTGCTGCCTTGAAATTTTTCAGTGCCTGTGGAAAAAATCTTGGGGTTCCTCGTCTTCCTTGTATAGCCGTGTGCCTAGCTTGTCATTGGTCCTCTTTGCTCATGTCTTTAGAAAGCTCTCGTGTGCCACGTAGCAGTGATTTTTCTCCATTTGCATGTCTTCTGTTGCTCTTGGCTTGGAGCTCTGCATGTGTCTTCATTCAATTTTATGTGACACATTCCTTTTGTTTCTGTTTAAATGTTGTATGTCTTTCTTTCTTCTCTTCCACTTTCCTCTCTTTCTCTCTCTCTTTCTCTCTCTTCCCTGCCTTTTTCCTTGTCTGTGCACACTGTGTGCTGCCTTTCTCCTGGCCACTCATTTCCTGCTGCCTTATAGTATCCATAAAGTGCAGTCTGCTGACCTGAGGAGAGTCTCAGCTCCCCCTGATTCCTTCACTGTGTGAGTATCTGGATTTTTTTTTTTCTACTTTCAAAGTCCCATAG